GGAAGAGCCAAAAGCACCGACCTCCATTTGCGTAGATGGTGCTGGCTGCTAACCTAGTCCACAGCAGCATTCATCCCCACAACAAAGACAGAATCATGAAGTAGCAGCTGCACCCCTGCCCCACAGCTCAGGTGTGAGCATCAATGCGCCCACCCTTCCTTCTCATACTAGAAGTCTATTTATACCACTTCGACACAACTAAGTCCACAGCCAAGGTGAAGACTATATTCACTTCAGGAAGCATTTATTAGAGAATCCTTTAACATGAAATTATACAAATAAACTTTGTATAAACACAATTCCACATTCGCAACATGAATGGCAAAAAAAAGAAAGTAAAAACCATAAAAGAAAACTAGTTGGCCGCTATATACAGTTGGACACAGTTGTGTCATACACTAAAAGTCTTTTACAAAATAGTCATTTCCTCTCACGAAGACCACCCTCCACTGACGCCCGATGCTTTGCAAGGTGTCTTTGCTGCAGCATCTCTACCTAAAAATGAAGACAAAATATATGTCAGAGTTTTGGAAGATACTACAAGAATCGTTAAAAGGTCCATTTTCATGAACTGCTTTAAGTCTTCTATATATTCCTTTCGTCACTGTTAAAGATCATATGCATATTTCTTAAGGTAACACAAGAGGTTTTGTTACCCACTAATAATTTGTCTTCCCAAATACTGCCATTCGGGAAGCTGTTCCAGAACAACACGCATCCCAATTCGGCTGATTATTGGGCTCCGGATCAGATTTTTCTCTGGAAACACTGCCACAACGGGGTTTCCCATTTGCACAGCCATCATTCATACAGATAAACAGATCAGGTTGGTGTACTTCCAACAGTTCACGTGCATATGATCTTTAATGTCTTTCCAGATTTAAAAGTTCGTTTTGGTTTGCAGATTTCACTATTAGCTATAAAAAGAAAAAAGCAAGCATTAAATCTTAAACAATGCACACTTAAAATGAGGTTCCACAATTGAAATACAACACTAAACAGAAGACCAAATGATTAAGCTGTAAAGGCATTTATGTACTTTAACTCCTGCAAAAAACCATTTAAGTTAAGACACTTAGTCTCCAAAAAGATTAAAAAAAGAAGCCATAGTCTGAAGTTTTCCACTTTAATCTTTACGCTGGTACATGAAGTTGGAAGAGACCATACCACAGGACAGCGTTTTCTGGTGTATGCCTTGCGCTCTGCCTGCAACGTGCGACCCCAGAGATAGACGTGGTCAGGGTGACACACGGCCTGCAATGAAGTTCCCGCTGGCGGGTACAAACAAGGTATAATGTCAGAGTTAGAAGATAACATTCTTGTTTTCCTTAAGTTGTACCCATTTCAGTACTTTACCTGTTAATACTTCTAATAAGTTTAATTATTCCTCTAGATCACCTGGTACACAACGCAAAACAGAAAAACTCTTATGTTTTTCTGAAGTACTAAAGAAGATAAAGTCACGTTTTTACAAAAGTTAAAGATCTATAGACACGGTAGGCAAAGCTGGTTTTAAAAAAAAAAGATATTTTTAAGTTAACAAAAGTTTAATTAAAGAAAAAGGTCACACTACACAAGGTTTTACTCATTTGTCTATTGATCTTTAAATTAGATTAGCATACTTTGAGTGAACCTCGCGCTCATGTACACACCTGTTTCCTCAGAGACAAGGAACAGCTTTAGTATGGCTGGTAGTTGTTTTGGTGATTGCCGCCACCACGAGACGCCTTTCCGTATGTGCTTTGTTGGCCTGTTGGCAACACGGCAGGAAAAAAGAAAAACACACCAAAAGCATTGAAATAAGCAATCTACTCATCCTTCTTAAGTCCTCTCATGCAGAACATCACCCCCCCAAAAATGGCTTTTTCAAGCCACGCCTTACAAGAAAGAGCTGCTGCAGAACAGTGTATGAGGCCCCTGTTTAAAGATGCACAAATGATCTCGAAGATCAAAATCACTCACCACTGTAATCTGTGTATCCCGGTCCATATCCGTAATTGGGATAGTTGTATCCAGAATAGTCATATCCTCCATAGCCACTGTAGCTTTGATCACTGTAAGCACTATTGTAGTTCCCATATCCTTGATCGTAATAGTTATTAAATCCTTGATTCCAGTTTTGACCCTGACCTGAAACCAGGCAGAGCATTTAATAACAAGTTCTGTGACTCAGTCTTCACATACCACTTCATTTAGCTGTAAGTTTTCTCTTCCAAAATTACTACTTGTAAGAACCCTACTTCCCACAGCAACCCATGAGAACTAATTTGCTAAACTAATTGATCCATCTCATTTGGCTATCAGTGACGGCCTGAAAGATCCAATCACTCAGAACAACATTAGATGAAAGAACACGCCAATTCCTGCCATCCAGGGGGAAAGACCAAAAGCATGCACAACCACAGTTCCTGTAGTTTTCCCAACTTCCATTTTTAAATCGTTAATTACACGAACAAGGTTATAACACAAGATCAGATGCATCATCTTAGTTGTGGCTGCTTGACTTTGTAAATCCTGACACGCATTAACCTGTGATAACTGCTGGCCTCTTTGCAAGGTGTTGACAAGTGACCATCTCTTTAGCCAGTGGCTCATGACTTCTCACCCACAAGCAAGCCAACATCCCCTCACACAAAAAGATAAGTAACAACAAAACTACACGACCACACTGGACATTTTATTATGCACTGAACTACAGGTCTACAAAAACAATCTACGTTTTGTCATCTGAACACTTGAATGCAAGCTGGGATTCTTTAACTTCCAAGATTTATCACAAGAACCAAAGTTGAACTTATTGCATTCAAGAAAATAATTCTTTTTAAACGAATTATTTTTATTTATTTATTTATTAAGTCCCACATGCAACCTGAAACAGCTTCAGACACCTTCAATACTTTTACACAAATCCGAATAGCAGAGCACTCACCCCGTCCACGTCCCCTTCCACCGCCTCGTCCACCAGACGCATTGCTTTTTCCTCCTTTCTGTTGCTGCTGCTGTTGCCTGTACACCTCTTTGGGCTGCGCTACTTTGATCTCACACTGTTAAGACAAAAAACCTTTAACTTGTGAAGAATTACAGGACCGTTCTGTCGGCTGCCTTCACGGAAGCAGACAGGCTGCCTATTCCACATACTAGTGAGAAAGCATCACTACCTTGCCTGAACCAATCTGATGGTATCTGCTTTCTAGTAACTTCTTTACTGGCTCTTCATCTGTGTATGTGATAAAGCAGAAGCCCCTCCTTTCATTCGTCTTTGTGTCCATGGGAAGCTCAATGTTTTCAATCTGCAATAAGAAGCAGGTACCAATGATGCGTGAAGGTCAATACACAACCTGTGCCAACATCTCTCAATGCACATTTCATTGTATTTACAGCACATTCTACTTGGAGTTGCAATATTACTTTGACACAGTCAGGACTGTTTGCTATGGACATCCAGCCACAGGGACATACATGAGATTGGATATTATAAAGAATTTCTTCTTTGAAAGAGCAGCAAGGCATTGTCACAGGCTGCCCATAGGGGTGCAGTCATTGTCCCCAAAGGTGTTCAGGAACAGTGGATTAGTGGTACTGAGGGACATGGTTAGTGAGCATCATGAGCATGGGCTGGACTTAGTCATCATAGAGATCTTATCCAACTGTAACGGTGTTATGATTCTGTTAGCACATCCACTCACAGGACACTGCAGCTTTCAGAACTTCTGATGCTAACAAGTCATCCCGCTCCAGCAGTACAGAGCTGTTAACAAACTGTTTTAACAACCTCTAGCTCCACAGAAGTCCAACTCAGGCAATACTCCCTTGGAAAACGGCATTTACCTTACACGAGGCCACAGCTTACCTCTCCAAAAGCACCAAAGTACTCCTTGATCTGCTCTTCAGAGGTATCCGGGCTCAGCCCACCAACAAACACCTTCTTGGGTGGCTCTTTCCCCTTGAGGGCTTTCGCCCTCTTGGGATCGATCAGCTTTCCATCCAGCTTGTGCTCCTTCAGCTCCAGCACCTGGAATGCACAGATTGAAGCCCTCAGAGTGCTGAGGCAGACGCGCATAGCACACAGCAAACGACCGGAGGCCCACGCACAGCCCTTACCCCCCGCCCCGACACGAGGCCCATCCACACACCTTCTCCACGCTGGCAGCGTCCTTGAAAAGCACGAACCCGAAGCCCCGCGACCTCCCGGTCACCGGGTCGGTTTTAATCGTGCAGTCCACAACCTCTCCAAAACGGGACAGGTACTCGGTCAGGTCTTTCTTGCTCGTGTCCCAGCTCAGGCCGCCGATGAACATTTTCCTGCGAGGCAGCGGCACGTGTGGGCGGGGCGCGAAGCGCGGGGAAGCCCCGCCCCCGCCGCTGACGTCACGCCGCGTGACCACCGCCCGCCGCCCCACCCCGCGCCAACTGGGTCAACCGCGCGGGACACAAAGGCGGCCCCGCCCCCTCCGCTAGGCCCCGCCCCCTCCCTGCGACGACCGCCCCCTCCCCCACGCGGCAGGCAGAGATGGGGGGGTGGGGGGGGGTGCTGGCGCTACTCCGTCTCGCAGCCTACCCATCGTCCTGCTGGTTCTTGCTGGCGTTGATCTTGGAACCCTCGGCGAACTCCTCCGCGCCGCCGCTCATCTCGGTGGCGTCCTCCATGGCGGGGCGGCTAAGAGCGCAGAGCGACGGAGACCCGCGCGAGCTAGAAAATGGCGGCGGAAGAGATCCGGGCACCGCCTGCGCCGCCCTTATATAGAGGCGACGGCAGCCAATCAGCGCCTCCCGGGGAATGCTGCAGCGCCCCCCTGCGGCGGCGCCTCCCGCGCTCTCCGCTGGCTGCCGCCATGGGCGTGCTGCCGGTGCCGGCGGGGGTGCGCGCCATCCTGCTGGACGTGGAGGGCACCACCACCCCCATCGCCTTCGTGCAGGTGCGCGGCCCCGGGCGGAGGCGGGAGAGATTTGGGTTTTGGGGGGGGAGGGGGGCTCAGGGATTTGGATGATGTGAGTGGTTTTCACATTCGGTTTTTAGCAACGTTGGTGATTGGGTGGGCTCCGGGAATGACCGCGGGTTTTAGGAACGTTGGTGGGCTCGAGGGGTTCTTGTGATTGCGTGGGTTTGGGTGATTTTAGGTGTACCGGTGGGTTTGGGGTGGGTTTAGGTATTTTGATGGTTTTATGGTGGGCGGCTGTTTGAGGGGTTATTTTATTGTGCTTGTATCATTTTAAGTATTTTGGTAGGTTTTTATCGACTACGATGGCTTTCATCGATGGGTCTTAGCGATTCTGATAATCCTAAGTGAGGATAGTGGATTTCAAGGTGGTTTTGGGGATTTCAGAGGGTTCCAGGGACTCCCGTAATCTTTAAGGATTTGCGTGGCTCTTAACAATTATGGTAGTTTTTAACAATTTTGGTAATTTTAGACAGTTCAGTAGGTTAGAGGGGCTTTGGTGGCGTTTCCAGATTTTAGTGGGGTTTTTTTAAGTGATGATGGTGGCCCCACTGCTCTCAGTGGCCACAATGCCAGCGCTGCCCTGCTTGCTCCCACCCCACCACCGGCACTCAGATGAAGGTTTTAAAGCTCTTTCAGCATTTCTCTGGTTTTGGTTTCTGAGCTGCCATATTCATGTCTGCGTGTGCTGCCAGGAGACACTGTTCCCCTACATCAGAGACAACGTGGAGCAGTACCTGCGTGCGCACTGGGAGGAGGAGGAGTGCCAGCGGGATGTGGGGCTCCTGAGGCAGCAGGTGAGGGCACCTCGTGGCATTGGGTCACGCTGAGGCTCCTTGTCCATCCTTGTCCTTCACTTTCCCTGTCCCCAGGCCCAGGAGGACTCGGGCCTGGACGGAGCAGTGCCGATCCCATTGGAAAGCGGCAGTGGGGATGAGGAGCTGGAGCGCGTCATCCGGGCAGTAGTGGACAACGTGCACTGGCAGATGGCTCTGGACAGGAAGACCACGGCGCTGAAGCAGCTGCAGGGACACATGTGGAGAGCGGCCTATGCCACGGGGCTGGTGAAGGGAGAGTGAGTAATGGTGAAGGAGCAGGCACGAGGTGCACTGTTCCTGGTATCCAGCAGGAGAGGGGCTGCGTTGGGCCCTGAACTCACATACGGATGTAGGTAGGGTCAGTGCCTCCACAGAGAAGTCAAGAAGGACAGCCTTCCCATCTGCTGCCTTATAAACAGGGAGAATTATCTTACAGTGGCCCAATCGCTGTGGATTTAGCGATACTGCTTGACAGCATCCAAAGAGTGGGCCTTGCAGGTGCTATACAGCAGCCTCAGAATATTTTTGGCTGACTCCACGTACACGTAAATCACTATAAAATGACTGAATTACTTTTTTCTTTTGTTAAACAGCTAATGTACCAAAGCACTGAGCACGTGACTGAGAAACTGGAGATAAAGAGGCCAGCTGGTTGCGACAAGGCTACAAAACTCAGTCCCACACTTCCCTATGTGGCTGTTGGGAGCCCTGTGTCTATTTGGGGCAGCACTCTCAGGTCTTGGCCCAATGGCTGCACGGTGCTGGTGGGAAGGCTGCTCTTTGAGCATGGGTTAAAGCTGAATTCCTCCAGCACCTCTCCGTCTGCTACATCCTACTTCTTCCCTGCCCTTCTGAGGGATTCCTGGGATGCATAGATCCCTCTAGAAGCAGCGCATCCCTCTGGAAGCATCCTCCAGTGCCTTTGGGCCTGCCTTACCTGCTGCCCTGTTTTGCTGCAGAGTCTTTGAGGACGTGGTTCCAGCCATCCGGAAGTGGAGGGAAGCTGGGATGAAGGTCTACATCTATTCTTCGGGCAGTGTTGAAGCCCAGAAGCTTCTGTTTGGATACTCTACAGAAGGCGATATTCTAGAGGTAGATAACGTTACCATCTTCCTCATGGCTTCTCCACCTACAGAGCAGACCCATCCTATGGCTGTTTGTGTTGTGACATTTTGTCAGTAGTCTCAGATGGGAAAGCAGGATAGTGTGGGAGCCTTGATTATCAGCAGTTTAGCTCTCTGCTTCTCATATAGTGTCCAGCCTTTGCCTTTCTCTGTCTTTCAGCTCTTTGATGGCCACTTTGACACCAAAATAGGTCCCAAGGTAGAAAGCGAGAGCTACCGAAGGATTGCTGCAAGTATAGGATGTGACACTAACAACATTCTCTTCCTGACTGATGTCCCTCGAGGTAAGTGACCTGCTGCCTCACAGGACTTGTCACAGCCATCCAGTGATGCTGCAGACCTCCTTGCTTCTAGGGCACCCAACTTGTCACTGCTGTGCTTCTTCCTGAAGCGTTCAGGCTTGCACAGGGCAGTGGGATATCTGTGTGTGACACTGTGCAGTGAGGGAAAATAGGCCAAGCAGAAAACCTGTCCTTGCCCCAGGAAAGAAACAAGGAGAGTGTTAAAGCAGAGTGGATCATTTGCTGAAGCAGTCGGTGTGCCCCATTTGCAAACAGGGTCAGAAGTTTTTGTGGCTTGCACTCAGCTTCCCCTGGGAACAGCGATGCCTGCTGTGCTTGGTATGGTTGGTCAGTGGTTGGTTGTGCTGCACAGCAGCAGGAAAACATTGATCCTGGTCTTCAAGGCTCAACTCCTAGGAAGCCAGATTGGTGAAGCCTCTTACTGCCCATCCTGGGAACATCTTCTGACAGAAATGGGCCGATACCTTGGTCTGAGCCAGCTTAGTCCGAGGAGTTAGCCTCAGTCTCCTACTCAGCTCAAGCAGCACTTCTAGTGAGAGCTTTCAGTAACCTCCTTGTCCCTGCAGAGCCTGCCCCAGGGCCTCTTATTGTGCTTGGGGTGAGAAGGGAGCTCGCGAGGACTGGCTGCAGGCTTGCAGGGTGTTGGGCTGGCTAACTTCAGCCAGTGCCACCTGCAAACACTGCTGTCAGTCTTAACCTTTAAAAAGCACGTTTTATGGGGCTGTTCAAGCCTTAAGGGCCCTCGTGTGGTGAAATCACAAAGCACATCTCCACATCTTCACTCTCTCCCTTTTTTGTTTCAGAAGCAAACGCAGCCGAGGAAGCGGACACTCACGTGGCTGTGGTCATCAGACCTGGTAACGCAGGACTGACAGATGATGAGAAATCATACTACAGCCTCATCTCATCTTTCACTGAACTTTTCCTGCCTTCCTCCACTTAAGGAAAGTGATGCACACACAGAAGGCTGTGCTTCACCTGAGTCGTCCTTGTGTAACTTCAAGTAATTTTGTCCATGACCAGAATGTAAAACCAAACCCACGTCATGTATTGGACCCACAGCCAATGCAGGTATGGATGGAGAGTATGGTGTGGGGTTCCCAATGCAGTACATTACAGCTGCCACAGACAGCTAGTCCTTGCTGCAGGCAAGCTGTATATACAGAGAATGACTTAAATCTTGGCTACACCTACAGCAGGTCCTAGGTACAAAACAGTATGACTTGTGTGCTGACACTGCTTACAGTGACACTGTCAGCCCACGAGAATGAAGTAGAGCATACAGTAAGAATTAAGTTCTTTAAAAATTGAATTCTGGACCCACCTCATGTTGCTGCCAGGTGATGTGAGTCTGCGGGATCCAACAGGCTGACACCACAGCCAGCTTGGCTGCATTTCTGCCCAAAACTACCATAGCTCCTCAGTAGCCAGCTATTGCTGGTCAGTTGTGAGCAGACCTTGCCAAACATCCTGCTGCATTGAATGAGAGTTAAACCAGAGATCTTTTCACCCGCCTTACTTTAACCATGCCAATTTATAGCAACAGTCATGGAGCTTTTCCTTCTATAGTCAATAAAGCCACAGCTTTGTTTACATCATGTTCACTGTATTTAGCTTTGCTGCCTGTCACCAGTGATCCCAGCACCTAAAGGAAAAATCTATTTAAAAATACAAACAAACAAAAAAAACACAGTTTTTTTTCCCTGCTTTTGCCCTCCCTGTCCATTCTTTAGGACAGACAAGCCTGTCTTGCTGAGGAAGCAGCATCATGTCCCTGTCTGTCTCATGATTTGACGAGGGACTTGGTGGAAGCCAGGAGGCTGAATCAAGCAATAACAGTGGTGGTCTGACACAGTCGCTGGCACTCAGCTCAAGAGTATCACCCACTACTTACTAATTGCTGTGCAGCTGTGCTTGAACTTGCCCCTCACAGCTCTGGTAATGAAACGGCCACAACAGATTGCCAGCACACACGCTGCCTTCCTGAGCTCTGGTGCACATCTTCAGCTCTCCTGTTGAAGTAGCTACATAGAGAAAAAAGCACCTGAGGAGGTAAACACGTCATGCCAGCACTGCCCTTCTAAAACTTGATGGCAGCTGTGAGGCAGCTAATGTGAATGCCTTTCCAGGCTGTGTAGAGCATGATCCACCTCCGAGAAAGAGCCTGCTAATTAGCACTGCTACAGTCTGTACCTGCATGGCTGAATGATCCCCAGCTTCATTAAGTGTTAATTTGTATCATGATAGTGTAAATATTTTCTGTTCTGTGTTTGCCCTCATAAAGCTGTGCATGGGATAGGGGACAAAAATAAAACTCACTTTCTCCATAAAAGCACTTTATTTAGTGGTCATGTGTATAGTGGTTGTCGTTTAGTTGTACTGAAATGTGCTGTTAGAAATTCTGTAAGAAATGTACAGAGTTATTACCAAAAACCTGAAGTTCAGTTTGGATTGCATATAGGAAAATGAAAATCAAGTCACAATCATCATCCTTCTTTTTCTTTGTTAAAATTGTTATAAAGTATAAAACAATAAACCAAATTGATTTAAAACAAAACAAAACAAAACAAAACCAAAAAGGAGGACTATTTACAGTAAAACACCCTGAAAACAAAACACTGCTCGTGCTCCCTATGCATCCACCATGTGCCTGTGTCAGGGGTCCCCCTGCATCCTGTCCCCCACCACATAGTGCAGGACTGTTGGTGGAGCTGTAGATGACCTGGTGTGCCCCAACCCGCAGCCTCAGCACCTTCCTTCCCAAAAACAAGTTCTGAGCCATGAAAGATCATATAAAGGGCAACTACCTTTAACAGAAAGCTTTCTTGATCATTTGTCCTTCCTGGAGAGGCCTCTGCCCTTTTTCAGAGCATTGAATGCCCTTGTGCCCTTTTCCTTTCTGTCAGGAATACTATAGTGTGGTAGGAGTTCCCCTGCAAACACCTCTTGCCACCATTTTCAATTCTTCTTCTTTTCCCACAGGGGTGATGAGATGCCCCATGTCAGCACAGGCAGAGAGGCAAACCCAAGATGAGCCTGCCTAGAAAAATGGGAAACAAGTGTGATCCACCCGCTACCTGGCTGATCCAGCAGCCTTCCCAAACTCTGTTTTCAGAGATGAGCTTTAACCACAGCCTTTGTCTGCAGGAAATGTTTCTCTTTGTTATATTTCCACTTTAAACTCCCTTGGGAGTGCACAGCAAAGCCACTCCTGCTTTTGGTGACTTAAGCCAAGTCCCCCAGCCTTCACACCCCTTGGAAGCCCATTCAGGAAAACTGGCCAAGGGAGAAGTCTGGATTGCAAGCAGGAACAAAATGTGTCTGAAGTTTGACTTGTAAGTGCATAAGGAGCAACACACCAACAAATAAAACCAACTAAAAACCCTACACACATAAAGCCCATCTGCAATTATACTGTTTTCATTGTAGGCAAGTCCAGTGTCTCTAACACAATGTTTACCTCTTCTGTGAACAACAAAAAGTTACTGAAATACTACAGGTGATATGTAGTGGAAGCACTAAACATTTAAAAAGAGCAGACTCTTCTGGGTCATCTTTAGAGCACACAGGCATTCACTTATTAATTCAGCACCTGGCTTCCATCAGACCCCATTGCAGCCCATGAAACACCAGGCCCAGCACAGTGCTCCCCTGTGCCATGTTCTCTGGTGTGGGCACAGTCCTCTCTGCTGCCAGGCAGCATCAGCCAAGTCTCTCATGATTTCTCCCAAATCCAGCTTTGCCATCAGCTGCTTTCCAGGCTGGAAGCAACGTCCACCTGCTCGTTGTAAATGCTGGTCAGTTTGGGTTTTCCAATGTCCAGTTTTAAATCCAGAAAAAACAGTCATTCCTTCTCACCCTACCAAGTAACTCCCATCGGCAGCAAAGAAAACAATGCAAAAAAGATTCGAAAAGTGCAGCCCAGCAACTCAGGAACCAGCAACGTTGAAGACTATGCCCAGACAGGTCTGTTTCCTTCAGCTCCTCCCCTATAGGACAGGCAGAGCAGTGCCTATCTCAGAGGGGCATTGTGAGGACCTGCTGCCAAACATCTTGAACAGCAGGTGTGAGATGGAACTGCTGAGAAAGAGTCTCTGACAGCACAAACTGAACAACTTGTGCTACCTGGCACTGCTGTTCAGAAGGATCCAGTCCTCCTCGAGCAGGCAGCTATTTTTGTTTGGCCCTTAATGAGGCAACCACCCTCAGAGCCCTTTGGCAATACGACAATGATTGCACGTGGAAAACAAACTTATCAAAAAAAGTGTAAATGAGGTCATGTCTAACCGCAGGACTGCACCTGCCCCCCTCCCCCTGGCCAAAGGACAGGCTACACCTGATCTGTCTGGTACTCAGAGGCTTCTGACAAGCTTTCAGAAAAGCTCAGAAAGTTTTCCTGGTACTCAGAACAAACTATCTCAAATCTGTAGTGCCTGAACTCCACAGCAAATGTGCCAAAGTAGCACAGGAAACACATCACCAGGCCCCACTGGATCCTGGCAGCATACATGTGGATGCCTTGCGCCATCAGGATGAAATCTGGAAAAGGAAGGTCAAGGAAAACATTCTGGGAATGCTTGTGGGAATAGAGACACTGTCCAAGAGGGGAAAAAGCCAATAGGTCAGGCAATAAAATATTGACAATCAGAATCAGCAGGATGATGATCAACCTGGCTACCATCATAAAGAGCGAGTGTGGTGCCAGAGGTGGAAGGGACATCAGGTATCTAACAAGATGGGAACTGCCTATGGAATGCAGCAGCTGTTCTATGCTGGTCAGGGCTTCTGGTTCCAATTCCCACTGATAAACATTTACAGACCTTAAGACAGAAGTGTGGAGAAGACTTGCTTAAATATCAAACCAGCCACTGACAGAGCCAGCAAGCTGTGAGGGCTCCCACTATACACTCCTACCTTCTCTGCACACCCCCTCTAATCTTACTGCTCTCCTGTCTCTCAGAATTTCCTCTGCACTCCAGAAACACACGATCATACAACCTCATTGGTAAACAAACAGTTGTTTCAAGAGTGGGCTGTTACCCAAAATAACTTATTAGCTTATTCCCAGCCATTTCTTCCTGTCCTCTAACTTACCCCAGCACTAACATAGACACAACTAAGCAGTGACTGAACCCAGCTCCCCCAGTGAGACCAAAAGGGCTGAGGGATGAACATGAAGCCCCATGTACACCTGGTTGGGGTGTCTGCAGACTCCACAACCAAAATCCCATTTGTAACACATGTAGTCTTACCAGAAGTCAATAGAGCCAGCAGCTCCTCTCCTCAATGCCACAGCCACTGTTAGAGCGGATGACTGGCTGTAGAACCCTGGAGCACGCATACAATCTTTAGACACCTGATCACCACCCCTATCCCTCTATGCTCTCAACACGTTTTTAATCTTAGTCTTTGGCATGATTACAAATGCTAACCTGCTGGTAGCCATTAAATCAAACAGACGTTGTTCTGTTCTTACTGTAGCCACTTTGGAAATCACTAAGAAGAAGTTTTACAAACATTTATGAGGGAAGTAAGGGTATAGCCCATGTAGCCCATGAGAAAAGTAGTGCACTCCTGTAAAACAGAGGTAGTAAAACGAACTGATCACAGATTTGTGCCTTGACAACAATCTGAGCAGTGCTCCTAAATGCTCTGAGCTCCAAGGATGGCTGTAAGAGCCAATCTTCCCTGCTGCAGAGTAGCCACTGACAGGACCTGGTGTGCCACAGCGCACAACAAAAGGATACAGAGCACCACGCAGAGAGTGATGCCAGCCGATAAGGCGACTCGTGGAATTCCAGCTTTCCGTCCCTCATTCTTCAGGTTGATCTTGAGAGTGAGAGCAGACTGGATCCAGCATGCCAAGGTCCCAAAGCCAAAGGTCAGCGATGTGCCCACATTGTGGATCTCCTCATCGTTAGAAAGCTAAGAAGAGAGAAAAGAGTGATTGTCTGAATATCACAGGAGTCATCTGCTAGCTACCCCGGAGAGCTGAGAGGGCAGGTTAGAAGAGAGCAAGAACCACTGGGGTGTGAGACAGAGATGCTGTATCATTTCTCCTGGTGGAGTGTAAGGTCTAAGATAACCAAGATAAGTTGGCAACTGTCACAGCCAAGCAGATCCTCTGTCCAAAACCAAACACAGCGGAAAATGCAGCCTCCTGGAGACTGTCTCCACAGCTCCCTGACAAGACCTACTGATGCAAAGTTCAGGAAGAAATACTTCTCTGGCTTGACACAATGGTCAGGGCAGGCAAGGACAACCTGCCAAGTGCCTTTTCAGCTCCCTGCAATGACAGCAAACTGCAGCCTTCAGCTGCACAGAGCAGTGCCATCAGGTAGTGGGCTGCCAGAACCCAGCACCTCCACTGAGCTAGCAGAGATAAGCTTCTGTTTTGGCAAGCTTCTACCACAAACTGCTGACTGCTTGTTCCCTCTTCCACCTCTCTTAAGCACCGATGTCTAAGGCAACATAAGCTCATCCCCATTGGAGTGCAAGTGCTTTTCCATCTCTTGGCTGCCATTTCTCATAGGGCTCAGTGACTGTGCAGTGCTGCAAAGGAACAGGACAGACACATTCTGCAAGCAAAAGTTTGCAATGAATGTAAATACGTTCCAGGATGTAAATACATTCACTAAGGGCAAGGCTTAGGCTAAACATTTTCTCCTTTCCCTCCTCTTTTAAATAATAAACCTTTTCTAAATAATAAATCATCAGTGCATAATTCCTCCTTGCAGCCTTGATTCCTGTTCCATGATTTAACCAATTCCCAAACAATGCACAATGTGCAAAATAGCAGAGTAGTCACCCTGCTTCCACTGATCCCTTCCCTCTCTGTTTTTTTTATGGTTGTTCTTTTCATGGGTTTTGGGTTTGTTTTGTTTTTTTTTTGGTTTTTGGTTTTGTTGGAAAAGAGCAGGTTCAAATTATGGTAGAAGCAAAAACAGTATTGAGCTTGTTTTCCCAAGGCAACCTGCACTGCATGGGACTTACAGCCTTCATGGTGACTCTAAAATACCAATACCCAATCTGTAATTTTCTAGAAATGTGATTTAATGCCATACTCAGCTCAGTCATTAGGCAGGGAAAAGCATGGGCTATAGTCTCATTACCATATGCTTTCACAGCTTGGCACAAGATCTAAGCAAAGATACAGCTAACTAACAAGGAGTGGATTATTAGTTCAAAATTTATAACCATGAAAAGATTCACAGCATCCACTTTACAAGAACAAGCATTTGCTCTGAGGGGGAGAAAAAAGGAAGATGTCCAAACTGCTTTCTACTACCTAGTCCCTGTCATAGAAACATTCTTCTTGCACCTATACATGGTACAAGGGCCTTGTAATTCTTAGTTGAGAAGCTCTCATGAAAAAGTAAACCTACAGGTTTTTGGCCTGGGCCATGGAGTTAGCAAGACCTCCAAAACAGTTAAATTAGCTCACAGAAAAAAAGAAAGACTGTAAAGGACACAAAGTTTCCACAATTGCTCTACAACTCAAACAGCTACTAATCCTTCAGAAAATAAGTCCTTTTTCTGTATTAGCAGGAAAACCATCTCCCCTCCTGCAAAAGCAGCTGAGAAGCCTTTTTCTGCTCCTGGCAGCTGAGGCCCTTTACTTGCGTCCCAGTAAGAGACAGAACAACAGAGAAAGCAATGGGATAGGGAAACCAAAGCAGCCTGCTTGCTCTCACGGCTTGATTTTCACTGCAGACCTGACAGACACAGACTTGTGATCACAGTGAATGCACAACCCCACAGAGTAAGGCTGTGGAGCTGACAGCTTGACTGCTTGTCAAGCAATTGCAGAACAGATGGAGAATTGCAGGGACCTCATCCAGGCACCCATCACACCAGGGAGAGAGGCAGCATTTCTCTGCTGCATCCCTCTCATGGGAGTCAGAGGACAAGCAGGAGATAAGTTTAACCAACAAATGTTTTAAGCAAAGGACACTAAAATGTCTGCTAAATGTGTATGGGCAGCTGTGCATCTGCTAACACAGATGCAGATATAAACTTCCAGCTCAGTCCATTTACCCAGGACCATCTGCGCCAAACCCCAGGGCTCAGGAGATTCAGAAGGCTCCCTGCTCTGGCTCTCAGCAGGTCAAGCATGCATGAAATATATGAACAATTACCACCGTCCTTCATCTCCGCATGTTCTGGAGCCACAATAAGCAGCAGGCAGAGTTGGCACAGTGGGTATGAGGAGGATTGGGGCACAACCAGACATATGTAGTTCAAAGACCTGGGCTGACCTGCTTAAAAAGCAGGAGCCTTATGACACACTCACAGCAACGTGAGCCTGGCGTGCAGTACCTGGAAGTTGCCGAGTAAGGTCATCCCAAAGGAGGCCAGGCACAACGCCACCAGGCCGCTGACATTCAGCCAAGGGTTCAGCACCTTTGGTTTCAGCTGAATGAAGCGCAGAACAGCAACAACAAGTGCTAAGAAAGAAAGAAAGAAAGAGCACAAAGTAGGTCATTAGGTAAAATGTGCTGCAGAAGTTACCTGGCTGGGCTCACAGCTGTTTTCCATCCTCCGCTAACTGCTAGGGGCAGTTACTCTCTGACTAATGGGGCTCACCTGTACTTTTCTACTGTTATTTCTACAGCATATGAGCCTTACAAAAGAGAGATATCGGTCCCTGTGAAACCACGTGACCTTTTCTTAAAACGACAACAAGATTGACAAAGGGGAATTAAAAAGTCACCTTCCTGCTTTATATGCCATTTTGATTTTCCACAAATGCTAATGTTTCTGGCTTTAGTGATTTCTGCTGGTTCTTGTCTAGTGGCAAAGTCAACACAGGCACAAGCTCAAGGCAGCCAAGAAGCACCCCAATGCAGTAGAGCAATCCTACCTACTGTGGCCAGCCTGGCCTCATCCATAAAGCAGAGACAGCATAAAAACAAATCTGCAGTCTGGAGTTTCCCTGGTTTCACTTCTTCTAGCAACAGGGAGAAGCAGTGATGAAAACAGACAGTAGAGCTGGGTTTCAAAAAGCTCTTGCCCTCCTTCACAGCACCTGCTCCCACGCTCAGGTGACTCTGTCCTCATGTCTACTCAGATCACAGCACCAAGACAGTCCCTGCCCTTCCATACAGCCCACAAGCTGGAAGCAGAGTTGTTTATAATAACAGAGACCCTGGCTTGATAAGCAAGGTCTGACCTTTTAACAGTGCCACACGAAAACAAACTTAAAGGATGCCAACACTCCCCCCAGAAGCGATACTTGAAAACAAGGAAGTTCAAGTCAGGGTTCACAATGAAACTCATCACACTGGATTTTGCACTACCAAGCTGCATTTTTGTTAGGGCAGGTTGAGATTGTCAAGGGATCTTACTTGTACACACACTGGTACGGATTCACCTCAAAGCTCAACTCAACCCAATTTCTCAGACTGAGAAAGGAAATATCCTGTCTTTTGCTGATAGCAGCAGCAGAAAGAGCCAAACTGGCAGCACCAAAAAGCATTCCACAAAGGATAAGATCAGCGCAAGAACTACTAAATAAGAGCAAGCACAAGTTAAAATAATCATTTGTCCATTTCAGTTTGGGATAATTTGTTTAAAATAAGTAAAGGTGTCGGTAGCAAACACTCTAAAAGCCTAATGCAGGTATTTTTTCCAAGCATTTGTACTTTTCAGATATTCCTTCTATTTAACATGGAGTGTTTTACCTTTAACACCTGCTGCTGGAAGAAGCCAGTGAGCTCTCACAGCTTCAATAATGGAATCTGGGAAGGGGTGGGGGTGCAGGGCAACTTCTGCATAATAAGTTGTTGCAGTTGTAAGATTATGGCATGGAGATATTCAAATTCGTAGCACAGAACAGAAACCCACCACGCAATGAAGAACAATCACACAGCTTCAAGGCTAATGAAGCTCAAACGTATCCAGCCTCATTCTGCCTTTCTACAAATGAAGCCAAAACAATCCTGGCTTAATCATCAGCAATCACAGCGTAACGGATTTCACATCAGCAGATCTAAGAACGACGCATATTGGATATTACTTATGTTTCAATGACTTCTTACAATAGATTACGAGAGAGAAAGAAAGAATTCTCCTTGTGGTTCCTACCTAGAAACGCTGCCATGTTCATGACTTGGCTAAACACGCAGCTCGCAGGAGGAGCATCACCTGCAATACTTGGAAAACAAAGCGTACCACTGTAACTCCAGGATGGCAAAAGATGTGTGAACAACAGCTATTCATCAGAACCATAAGAGGGAAAAAAAAATAAAAATCACTCACCTTATATAAGGTGGCCTTTTGGAACCAGGTTTTCTACAAGGCACAAGCGCACAGAAATTAAGATTCAAGAACTTCTTTTCCATTTTATCAATTATTTTAACAAAACAACTAATTAAAGCAAAGCCCACAGACCCCTCTTACCTCTCCGGTACATTTAGTGCAATAATTTTGTTATCTTCCACTGCTATAAAGTATCTGTGAGGGGAAAAAAAAAAAAGACACAAACAGCCTCAAACCTCATTCTGGCTTCTATTCCAAATATCACTCAAACTGTTAAGTACCTTAAAGGCCACTGACACAAGGTCAGGCAAAATCAGAACCTAAGGAGGCAGCCAGTGCTCAAGCAGGCAGCTTTGTTTCCCAGCCCATTGCCTGCCTTTCTGTTACATCTGCTCTGCATGACCATGTGGAGAAGCAGATTACCAAAGCGGACTAAAAATAATCACCCAAGGAAACAATTTCATCTTGAATCTGGATCACTTGATTCACCTGGTTCACTCTGCTTCCTCCACAAAAGCTGTTTTAGCAGCAATAGGTTCAGATAAACAGCTTAAGCTATTCCTGCTGCTGAAAAACATCTTCAGATCCATGGCCAAAGTCACATCCTACAATACAGCACTTCTCGGGCTGAGCAGAGCTGCTGATGGCACACTTCTCACTCCCAAATTCATGCTGCAGTTGTCTGCCTGCATGCCTGGGGGGAGCCCCCTTGGGTAAAAGCACACCTTGTGTGTCTTTTGTTAAAAAGGGCTGCTGAGAAAAGCGAGGCATCAGCATTATGCTGCTGGCAGGCTGTATGGGGCTGTATGCTCCATGTTTGGGCTCTTCATCCCAAAGCAGAGCCTGAGCACTTCTCCAAGAGCTCTGCTGAGTCATTTACAGAAAAGGTGATGGCGGGAAATTTCTGCAACTTGGCCTCCTGTTTTTTTAGGCAGTTCCCAGTAATGTGTGCTATGAGGAAGAAAAGGTCAGAAACTTGGCTGGGGAGCACAGAAACTCAGGGAAATGCACATGCTCCTCCACGGACTGGCCCCTGACCCTCTCAAGTGCCTTTCCAGCCCCACAGAAACTCAAGCATCCCCCACAGATTCACCCTCCGAAGTGCAGCAGTTAACTTACACTATCCATAATCCAGCTGACGTAAATAGGGTAAACACAAGGGGTAAAAACATCCACACGCTACATTTCTTCCCGTCCATAGCTGCTAGAAACAAAGAGTAAAGTAGAAAGTAAAAGTAAGAAGAGGGCACAGGCAATCAGACCTCTTACCAAACCCGTGCTGGAAGCAGAAGAGCATCCCCACAGCAGGGACCAAGACCAACCTCACAACAGGCAGCCCAGTAGCACTGCCAGCATTACCCACCACTATAGCTGGTGTGAGGGGCTAAGCTGCAAAATGCAGGCAGCTGCTGCGCTGCACAAGAACAGAGAGTCTGCAGCAGGGAAACTCTTTTCAGTCATGCACGTGGCGGGGGGGTGGAGATTCATGATCCTTGAGGTCCCTTCCAACCCTGGCCATTCTGTGATTCTGTGATTCCTAGAGAACAGCACCTCGAGAACAGGGGTAGTTCTCAAAGCACTCTCCTGACGCAGTTTGTACAAGGTCATTCCACGAGACCCACAGCTCTCTCTCCTTGCTCCTTTCCAGAGGCATGTGGCAGCACAGCCTCCCTCCCGTGATCATTACCCATTCCACACACATCATATCGGCACAGTCCGCAGAGCAAAGGGAGACGGATGCACATGTTCTCTCCTCACCCCCACAAAGCGCACGACCAGCTCCCATCCTAGCTACGGCAATCAGCTAAAAATGGTGTTTGCATGCTCCCAAAGGGGAGCCAAGCTCAACTGCTGTCAGAATGAGGTGTGACAAACAGGACCAGCTCTTGATGCTGTGCAATGCTGCATGGGCCTTAAGGATGCTGTGCACATCCTCTCCTGAGGAAGTATTTGTCCTACAGGCAAGATCCCACTGGACAAGGCTGTGAGACGCTGGGACCATTCCTGCAATACATGCAATTCAGAAGTGCCACGATGCTGCCAGGCATCAAACACAGAACACCTTGTATACCCTGTGAGCCCTCTGACAATGGATCAAATACCTCCTCATACTCCGTTGTCCTGCACAAACATTCCTTCAGGCATTGATCATCAGCACAGCCAAGAGATGCAAACAGAAAGCGAACAACAGGAGGCTCTCCGCTCCAGCACCCACTTTGATTTCCCAAGGGCAGCAGCCCTACATCAGCTGTGCCGCCCTCCTGCATGCTGCACATTGCTGGAGGGGCACAACACAGCACCATTTGATGTGAGGCCAGAGGGCTCATCACACCCTGAGCCATGCCATGCTTACATAAAACCATAAGGCTCAAGCGAGGCTGAATCACAAACCGTAAAAGAAGGATAAGCTAGAAAATAAGATCTCTTCCCTGGCCTGGGAGCAGAGGAAACTGCATGCAGGGAGCACGAAGCCACGCAAGCATTAAATACTTCAGTGTAGCGAGCAATCAGCTCCTGCGTGTAGATGGATCTTCAGCATGGTGCAGCAGAACAGAAGAAATTGTTGCTGTGGGTGGAGCACATTCCCCCACCCATCTCATCTCTATTCCGCTTCCTGCACAAAAGACTCCGGCTCCCCATGGCCCCTGCTGCTCCAGCTGCAGCTGTTCTATGAGCAGTGCCCTCGCCTTTTTCTCCCGCAGCCCATAAATATGCAGTGGCATCCCATAACTGCAGCTGAGCTCCTTGTTCCCATCCGGCTGGAGGGGAGCAAGCAGGTAGATGTCACCTCCTGTTAAAGCCCACGTTTCCTCTGCGAGGTAACTGCTGCTAGTGCAGCTCTCCTGCTTTCTACTGGACTAAGCAAAGCCAGCACAATTCTTTCAGCTCAAAGACTGTTGCTTACCCTCCCCCTCAGGAAGGTACAAAGAATGCACGGACATGACTACAGCAGATACTGGAAATAACACTTGTCTTCATTACCGTCTTACCACAGCTCCTCTGCCTTCCAATGCACCTCTCTGCCAAGAAATCACAACCTTCCTAACCTACTTCAGTGTTGTCTGATGGGAGGAAAGGCAGGTGGAACAGGGCTTGTCTCCCAAGGCAGAGCCAAGGGCAGTACATGGGGATGGGGGCAGCAGTCCATGGCTGGGAAGGACATCACTGCTGTTGCAGCTCCTTACATGGGCACTGTGCTGAGGTAGGAGTGCACGTACCCCTGGTGCCCCCTCCAAGGTAGGGCATGGAGGCAATGGCTGGACCAGACACTTTCTAGTGTTGTTCAATGGCACGTCATATGCATGCCTGAGGATGTTCAGCAATCTCTATGTGGACTGAGAATAGTTTAAAATCAAGATTTGCTTGGGTACGTAACACTTGCACCCTGCTGCACTGGCTGGTTGCAGAACTAAATTACGTGGCACCTCACCTCTTACCAAAGGTTAGCACATGCCAACCCTGCACTGCTGTTCAACTGAGACCATTCTCAGCCTTTGCAGTAACTTGCTCGGGTCTTGGGATCATGTCTTCAAGTGGGGAGGCCACCAGCACCACCATCAGCGGCCAGGGATGAGAGAATAAGGAACGCAGTCAGCACCCTCCCCTGAGCCAAAATAAAATGTTAAGTGGGAAAAATAACCTAAATTCCCCTCGGGGAATGTAGAAACCATTTCTTGGAGAATTAACTGCTCTGTGGGGAAGACGCTGAGCCAACCTTCCCCTCTGCAGCTCTGCTCTGTGCTGCTGCCACCAGCGATGCCAAATCTGAGCTGTCAATTCCAGATGACGGCACCAGCCATCTCAGCAGTCCCATGCTTTCCCAAATAAATACACTAACTTCGAGAGGCTTTTTGGAATTGCATGCACCTGTTTTGTCATCTCCTTTTAATTTCTAAGGTTTGCAGCAAAGGGAAAGCTTTAGGCAACCAATAGTCCTGCAGTGACACGGGCTCCCAGGGCTGACAAAAAGGTGTTTTCAGTGGGGCAGCTAACCCAGCCAGAGGCAGCCCGCTGTCCCCAAAGCACACACCACACTTTTCCAGTCCCTCCTGACACAAGGCCTCAGGCTGGCATCACAGGAACCTTGCTATTTCAGGACAGGGTGCAGAGCAGCAAAGGCTGCTGCTGCAGAAGACACAGAATGTCCTGGGTTGAAAAGGACCACAATAATCATTTAGTTTCAACCCCTCTGCCATGGGCAGGGTCACCAACCACTACACCAGGCTGCCCAGAGCCACATCCAGCCTGGGGATCCTAGGGATTTCCCTCAGCATAGGCTTTCTCTGCTGTCTCCATCCCAGTTCTCATGCCTAAACCTGCTCACATGATCAGCCATTCGCTTTGTTCTTGCTGTCACTGCCCCATGGTACTCCCCCATGCAATTAAGCTCCTGTTCCTCTAATGTAGGCAATTCAATAACAGCGGGCAGCTCACCAAACCTATCCCGCCACGAGTTCATTTAATGTAAGCATCTTAATTTCATCTGCCAAGAACGTCACAGGCTCTTCCTGGTGTTGATTTTGCCAAGAGACGCTAATGCAAGGAAGGACAACACTGCCATGCTAATGGAGTTGCAAATATTTCTAAAGATGAGGACATGCAGAAGCATCTCAAGGGCCCATTCGCAAGCTGCATGACACGCCAGAGCAGCATTCCTTCAGGAGGCATTTCACAACAGCCGGCCACTGAGTCATTTCAGAGAATAGCCACAGAGCTAAGAGTGCTGGGAGAAGGAGGAAACTGCTCCAACTCTACAGCAAGGCATAAAGAGAGGACGTTAGGCAGCAGCTGAGGGGAGCAACACAAACCGAGGCTGTATTTTGGTGTCTCTGTTGGCTTTAAATGGAGGGCCCGCTACAGCTTTCTGTTGCTTTTCACAAGTGAGAATAACTGCAGCCTCTCGACGCCTGATCACCGTGAGTGGAGGGACACACAGAGGCACCTGACGCAACGCACCACCCACAAGCTACCAATGCCAGCACAACAAAGCAGAGCCCTTTTGGATTCATCTCAAGGTCCTGAGCGCGCAGTGACAGAGATAAGGCACGCCAGGAATTGGTCAATAAAGATCAAAACGGCGGCACTACGCGAACCCGCCATCCATCAGCAGGGCGGGATTCTCCAGCACCCAGCCGCAGGCCGTGCAGCACCCAAATGCCATGCTCCTAAGAGAGGAATGGGAAAAGGTACGGCCGCCTCCAGGCGACACGTGGGGACGGGTAGGGGACGCTCCAGCAACCCCGCAGCAGCTGCCTTCGACCAACGACTCTCCCTGCCTCACAGCCGGGGGAGAACGACCAACCCAACGGCAACACACCGCCAACCCCGGGGCTGCGCACAACCCGGACGCTCCAAACGGCCGTGCCCTGCCCGCGGCCGGCACACGGTACTCACGGGCCACGCGGGGACGGCGCTGAGAGGCCGCGCTATAGCCGGAGGCGACGCCTGGGAGCAGTCCTGGGCCGGGCCCGCCTTTTTGGCATCGGGGTCTCGCGTCGCAGCGGGCTGCTGGAAGGAGACAAACGTGTGCAACTGGCCGCGCCGCGAGGCTGCAGGCGCCGGCCGGACGCTCCGAGAGCCGCCGGTGCTCCGCAGGAGGAGCGCAGCCACGCACGGCTCAGCCCCGCTCGGCCCCGAGGCGCGGCGCGCGCCGCCAACGGCCACCCGCGGCCGCCGGGCGGGCGGCTCCTACCTGAGGGCGGCGGCTGCTCCTCAACCTCCGCTCCCGGCGGCGACGGCGGCAGCGGCCGGGGGAGGGTGGAGGAGAGAGGCGGGAGGAGGGGCTGGGCTGTCGCCGTCCCCGTCCCCGCCTCGGCCAGGCGGGGCTCTGGCGGCGGCACGGCCCCCTGCGGGGGGGTTTTGGGATCGGTCACCTTTGGCTTTAGAGTCCGAGGTCCAAGTGAGCCTTGTGCGGAGCTGCCAAGGAGTGAGAGCTGCAGCCCGCTGGTTCCAAACGGAAAGGAAGACCCGTCGCTTCGACCCTGCAGCCAGTAGAAGCTGGAAGGGAAACAATGCGGCATACGGGGTTTTAAAGCAATTTCGTTCTCGGTAAACTCCCGAGTGCTTGAGATATTTTGTTGGTAGGAGCTCATTTCTGAGCAGGTGGCGTCCCTCCTAGTGCTGGGAAACGCAGGTGGCACACCAAGAGCTTTCAGAAATTCATCACGGCTTCATAAAAGCACACATCCCCAGGGAGCGTGCGGTGTGGGATGGGCCGCGGCAGCAGGGCCCAGCGCTGCAGGGCTGCTCCTCCATGTGGGGAGGGCCGTGGGCATGAGGACTTTGGAGCTGCGTCCCTCAGTGCATCACCTTTACAGCTTGCTCTGTGAGATCTCTTTGATGTGCCTCCAGGGCCTTCCATCCCACCTTTGTCCCATCTTGGTCTCCACCGTCAGACATTGGTTGTGGAATCACAGAATCACTAAGGTTGTAAAAGACCTCTAAGATCACGCAGTTCAACCACACACCCATCCCTACCATGTCCCTCTGTGCCACATCTCCATGGTTCTTCAGCACTCCCAGGGATGATGATTGCACTACCTCCCTGGGCAGCCTGTGCCAGTACCTCACCGCTTTCTGAGAAAAAATTATTCCTAATATCCAACCTGAGCCTCCCCTGGTGCCATTTGAGGCCATTTCATGTTGTCCCATCACTGATCCCCAGGAGAAGGGGCCAATCCCCACTTGACCACAACCTCTTGTCAGAGAAAAGTAGGAAGCAACAAGATCTCCCCTGAGCCTCCTTTTCTCCAGACTGAACAATCCCAACTGCCAGTTCATGCATACTAGACTCATCCTGCCTCTGTTTCCACTGGGCTTTTCCTACTGGACAATGGGGAACCTGCCTGGTAATTTACCTACCCCAGAAAGGAGACCAGCTCCAATACATGCAAGTGCTCAGAATCACAGTTTTCCTCCTCTTGATGCCTTGCAGCACGTGGGTGATCCCTGACCACGCTTCACCACATCAGTGCTCTTGATGAGGACCAAACTGTGCCCACCTTCCTCTCATGATGCAGAGGAGGCTCACAATACGGAGGAGGAGCAAGAGTCCTTCTGCCCTGACATTGGGTGTCAGGATCTGCCTCAAAGCTATTTTTCACACAAGAGGATTTTCACATAGCAAACCCCACTTCACAGACCTCACCACAGCTCAAGGTGAAGCAAAGGTAACCTCTGTCAGGGATGGTTTGACCATTGCAGGCTGGCTGTCATTTTGCTTGGCTCTTCTCCAGGGAAAGAGGTAAATAAGAGAGAAAGAAGGAAGAAAAGAGAATTGCTCAGCATTTGTTTTCATTCCTGGGACATGCATGTGTTCTGAAAATAGATATACCACCTGGTTTTCCCGTCCTGTTTCTTTCCACTCCCGAACTGGAGCAGGGCTGGACAAGAAGCATCGCCCACCCAGCACTGGGGGTGGGAGGAAGGGGCCACGGATCGCTCAGAGCTGCGGCACATCTAAATACAGCACCTGAGCAACTGTTCCTCAGCTTAAGTGATAGCCCTCATTTTGTTAGCCAGATCAGCTCTCATCAAAGCCATCTGTTCCTTCATCCAGCTTTTAAAATATTTTGATAGACTTCATTTTTCCAAATGCCTTGCTGCTAAACATGTGCCATCTGAGTGTGTGCACCTGCTGGTGGGAGCAACAGGCATGCTCAAGGTTTGCTGGGGGGACCATTGCCTGCAGAACACCCCCCCTAACCCTAAGAAGTATCCCCGGGTCCCAGCCCTCCAAGTCAAGCTCTTCTCAAATTGCCCACACTATCCCCCACCAAGAAAAAGTCCCTAGGGTTTGAGACTGGAGCAGCAAGTGGAAGTGACTAAGGTGACCATCACCCTCAGTTAATACTGTGCCTCTCAGCTCTGATAAGCATCAGTTCACCTCTGTATTTTATGTTTTTCACTGCAGCTTTCCCTCAGGCATCTTCCAAAGCCCACCATAGGGCTTTTGTACTTCTGTCCTAACTGCAGACTTTGCTTTTGATCTTTAGGGATGCATCTGGTGTGGGACAAAGGAATGGATTCACCTGTGCTGGGCCCAATTCCAGTGTAGGTCCAATTCCTCCCATTCTCCCTTATCTAGTGAGGCTGCAGTTGCTATGTGTGCAGCTGTGGAAGCCTGGGGTTCCAGCTCAGGGACTGGGCACTGCTGAAAGCGTGCTGTGGTGGCAGAGGGGCACTTGGGCTTATGTGGAGGAGCAAACAGCTCCTCTACTGCCTCTACATCAAAGGAAGATCCTTAGGAAAATTAGACCTTGATTCCTAGAGGTTGAGAAAAGGAGCCCCATAACTTCCTGTGAGACCCTTTTTGTGTGATAGTACAGCTACAGAAACAGCCCAGGAGCAAAAATATTGAGGTCCAACCTGAGCGTGTTTTGAGGGCCACAACGTGGCAATTGATACATCATCAACCTTCACAAATCCCTGCACATCAAGAGCCCTCCAGGATGCAAACACCCCAGATCAGCTGACTGAAGCCTGTAGTGACATCACTGCACTGACAGCATGGTCAGGGCTCCAATGGACACTGACCTTTCAGAAGAGTGGCTTATTCCTAGGATCCTCCTTCCCAACCGCCTGCTTTAATACCAAAGGCCAGAGCACATTTCCCATCTGATGGGCTGGTTTTCAGGAAGGTTAGCTGATAGTTTCTGGATCCAAGAAATTATCAGCCTGAGCCAGGGGGAATGCATTTGCTTGGCACAAGCTGCAGGGTGAGATAGGGACACAAATATTGCCCCGCCTGAAAATCAACCGCTGAGCCCCAGTAGCAGACACACATCCTGCCCACACATCCACTGCCCACACAAGGCACCTGTGCTGGAGTTCTGCGTCTCAGCACTGTGCAGGACCATGGCACAGTGCCCAGCACCCCATGGCACACGGCAGGATTGCCTCTGGCTTTCCCCAGCACAGCAGCAGGGCTGCAGGGCAGGAGTTCACACATGAGCTTTCTGCTCCACTTGGCTGCCTTTCAGAAGCTGTTAAGTGAACCCTGATGAATTTCTTAGCTGTGGAGCTCATGCTCTCCGCTGAGCCTGTTTCCAGGTGCAACTTTGACACCAGGGGGGTTTTGCTTCTGTTCACCCCCTTTTCCAGGGGATTGTCTGAACGTAGCAGAGCCCATACACCCAACAGAAGTGCAGATGGGGTGAAACAGAGCCTGGAAGCTCCGCTGTAATCAGCAGCCACAACCTCAGCTTTGTTCCAGTTGTGCTTGGTTCTGTACCCTGACCATGGTGTTACACCACAGCCCTAATGGGATTTCATCAATATTTGTGTAACCAACCACACACTGGAAGTTACAACAGAAGCTCTCCTTCAATTACGTGCCAAGTCCCAGCCCATGCAGAGTGTTTATCTGAACTTACTCAGGACAGAAAGGAGAAGACCTGCTTGGGGGTTTCTTCTGTGGGAAGGAACAAATGATATCTGAATCAACATTACATTTTCTCAGAGCCTCACCTATTCTGGCAAAAATCATAAAATCATAGAATAGCCTGGGTTGAAAAGGACCACAGTGATCATCGTGTTTCAACCCCCCTGCCATGGACAGGGTCACCAACCACCAGACCAGGCTGCTCAGACCCACATCCAGCCTGGCCTTGAATGCCTCCAAGGATGGGGCATCCACAACCTCCTTGGCAACCAAGTGCATCACCACCTTGCAACCTGTTCCAGTGCATCACCACCTTTGTGTGAAAAACTTCCTCCTAATACCTAATCTAAACCTCCCGTGTCTTAGTTTAAAACCATTTCCTCTTGTCCTCAGCCTCTGCTGAATGTGAGAGCCCACAGCCTTGAAACTCTCAACACAAAAACACTCCTGAAGAGGAAAGCAGCACATGCTGTTCCTGCCTTAGCGACACTCCACAGCTTCCCTGCTGCACTGTATGAAGCTACAGTCCTGCAACCCCACATACTGAGGGAGACCACACGAAAGAATGCAGCCAAGATTGTTTCCATACCAGGGAGGTACCTGAGTTCTACTCACATTTGGGACGTTTACTTGGGAAACATCATTTTTTCCTGCAAAGGATAAATGATTTTTTTTTTTTTACTGGCTCCACCATGTAGTGAAAGTAGAGCTGAGGAAGTTACAAGCTCATGCCTAAGGCATTTGATAGAGGATCTTTACATTTCCAAATGATGGCTTACCTTTGTTTTTCAAAATCACAGCTAAACCGCAAACAGTTCCAAGGTCTCAAATCCCTGAGTCCCACTGGAACTGGCGTTGCTTCAAGCACACCTACAAGGAAAACAGCTGTTACCTTGTTAAAATCTCAAGTGGTCAGGCTGAGAACAGCCAGTGTCACTTTGTGGGGCCGGTTGTTGTTCTTTTCTTACAGCACAGGAACTTACAGGAATCAGCTTTGGGAAGTCCAAGTAATAGCAGTACAAAAAAAAAAAAAAAAGAAGAAAAAAAAAGGGATCTACAGTGTGACAAAGATCAGCAGGAAGATGTGTATGTAAGCAGCTGCAAAGTGCTTTCACTGCAGTTCTCCAGACAGGAAACTACATAGACAAAACGAAGGAAGAACCAGTAAGATGCATTTGTATCTTCCCTGCTTCGCTCCTACACTCAAACATCACCTCCAAGCCTGTCTCCAGCATCAGTGATCAATGATTTTTGCAGCCCATCAAACTCAGAGAGAGAAGCAACGCTCCTGACACTCCTACACTTCCAAGCAGTAGGTAGGAAACTTCCTAGCTTTCTGCACAGGGCAGCAGTGAGACGCCTCCCGTCACATGTGCAATTCCTGTGCCAAGGGCCACAGATGCAGGTAGATACACACTGAGACACACACTTCTGGCACAGCCCAGGCCTTTCAGCAAATTGCATCGGGAACAAGGAAGCAATCCAATCTCGTGGTGCCCTTCTGTTTGTTAACAGTCCCCTTCCACTGAGGAGGAACACACACACACGAAGGGGGTAGATACCTGCAGATGCTCTGCTCTAATGGAATAGCTGGAAACACAAAGTGTAACAGTGCTGTACTTCTGACAAATGACAAACTCAGCCCTTTGCTGCTGGAGGCGTTTCCAAACAAAACGCAATGGCCGGACTAATTCATAACTGTTTATTGTAAAACACTCAAGAGTTTAACATCATTAATGGCAAATTAACACTGTTAAAACACCTGCTGGATGAAATACAGAATAAAGACAACTCTTATATCATATGGCAACATTTGAAAAACAAGAAACGAGAAAAAAAAAGAATCGATTTTTAACTGTGGTTTTGTTGCTGTATTTTTTTTTTTTTCTTTTTCTTTTTTTAAACTCTACATCTTTCCTGAAAATACCTGGGCTGAGTCTCACTTACCTTGAGCCACTGCCGTGCTCCAGGCATGGGGCCGAGCAGCCTGAATCGAGCACCCCCTAGCGAGGCGTAAGGCGGCGACCTGCTTTATAAATGAGAATCATGCCCTCTATCTTCAAAAGTGCTCCAGTGCTGACAGTACGAAGCCTTTCTCCTGCACTGGCTAACATCTAACACTAAGGGCTGTATGTTCCATTAACTCCGCATGCTTTTTTTTTTTTTTTTTCCTTTTTTTTTTTCCTTTTTTTTTTTTTTCCTTTTTAAACAAGGCAACCATTTAGTTCAGAAGCTACATAACTGTCTTTATATTTTGCTCAGAAACCAATAGATGTTGCATGCAGCTGAAATTTTAATAGAGACTCTGACTTCGATAAAGGTCAGTTTTCAAAGACCCACCAGTCAGAGGCAGAAAAAAAAATGCTAGCGGCCTCTTGTGCAAAAGGAGCTACAATATGCATGCATTCATGGCCATGACTGGTTAGAATATAACTCAGGTCTCCAAACATCGAAACTGAAGCTTCTTTTAGTTTAAGACACTGTTGAGCTCTATATCTTTACAAATTACAATGTGTGTGCAACAACAAAGGAATCATCTCAACATAGCGTCAGTTTGTATTTTGGCCTGTATCTTCAACACAAAAGCCTGCTCAGCAGTAAATGGTTTTCATATTTAGCAAAGACAGCGGCGCGTCGGTTTGGCTAACAGGGCTAACAAAAAGAAGGAAGCAGATTTTCAAACTAACAGCTGACTAATTTTAGGCTGATTTCTCCCCTTTGGCATCCTGTTTTTCTTGGCGCTCTTCCTGTTCCTTACCATCGGTTTGTAGCTGGAACAGCACATTGTGCCCTGTCCTGCCCTGTACCCTCCCAGAAACACGTCTCAAAAGCATGTTTGATTAATAGTAGAAACAAATTCTCCCCTAACTGCACTTCGAAAGGATAATTAGTTCCTCCAAACTGCAACGTTTAACCATGAACAAGCAAATTACAACGTATTTCAGACATAATCTACAGTGACTAAAATTAGTTTAACTCTAATATTAAATAATATAGAACATTTTGACGTTTAATAGTCTGAAGTTTGGACATAAGACAGCTAATAAGGAAGAAAAGTCAGAGCCGAATCTATTCCTGTGGAATAAATTCAACCCATCTGAAAAAAACTAATTTTACCCAGAGGAAAATAACTCTGAGCAGCGTGCGACGGTGCTGACGCACAGAGAAGCATTACTCTTCAAGCACTGCCATCTCCAGTCCTTTCCTTGCGTGCCTGGATCATCTCCTTTGGAGCTTGTTTCCGGTCAGTGACCAACCCCAACCAAAACATGAAGTCAATGAACCAGGTGGTGGGGTTGAACTTCAGGCCCAGCTCGCTGGCTGAGTAGTCGAAGGGGAAAGTGTGGTGGTAATTGTGGAAACCCTCACCTGGGAAAGAGAGAAGGTGTTAGGAGACTGCACGGCTGGCACACTAAGGAACTCAGGAACCCAAAGCCGTGACCCCACTGCACATTATGCTGCACCTCTGTCTGATCTCTGGGGCACACCCACAACTGGTCCCATTTCAGCACTTTTGATTTTCCCTGCCTGGCCACAACAGCTTCAAGAGGGGCGACTGGCAACCCATCAAATAGCAGAGTCCACTTTTAGCAGAACAATGGAGTTTTCTTCCAGCACATGCTGCCTCCTCCAAGCCCTACCTCAAAGCGGCGGCTAATTGCAGGTGCCCACAAACCCTAACCAAGGTGCAGCAGAACAGAATTTGCTCTCAGTTTGCAAGCCTCTACCTAGGCCTGCAACACCTACCAATGGCTCCCAGAGTGACAAAGGTGTTCTGCCTGGGATTGATGTACTTGTCATAAGGGCGGTTGCCGTACATGTGAGCGGCGCTGTTGACCAGCCAGGTGACGTTGAGGGATATGGTGTAGCGGAGGATGGAGGCGAGGAAGTAGGCGTTCCACAGACTCTCGCCCCAGAGGTACCATGGCACAACGGTGGGGATCACAAAGCACATCAGCACGACCGAACTCTTGTAGTACCTAGAAAGAAACAAAAAGACATCAGTGCTGTAGTAGGAATGATGGCAGGGTAAGGCAAGCGCCTGTAAGAACAGTTGGCTGATGGTTGTAGTGCAGAAGAACATGACTGGAGCCAAGGGGATGCAGAGGGACTGCTTCCTGCTGGTGGGTTTTAGGTTTGAATCAGATCGTTCCAACCAAGTCACCTGTCTCTTGACATGACAAATGTCAGAGCATTTATCTGTTGTGACAATCCTGGCCATGCTGGCATACTCTAAACCCAAAACCTCCACATCTACTGAGTGTGCAAAGCCTTGGAGAGCACTTGGTACCATAAGCACCTACTGAGAGCTACAAGGGATGGTTGTTGTCATTCCTGTCCTCTCTAAAGTCAGTGGGGTGAGTACTCACCTACTCACCTGCACTGAAAGGCACTAGAAGATGTGGGGGTTGGAAAGTGCTAGGTAAGGGACAATCATGACTATTATGATACTATGGACAAATGCCAGAAAAAAAAAAAAATGCTGCTAATCCAGAACAAAATTCAAGAATGGAGGAAAAGGCTTGACCTAAAAACCTGTTTTTACATGTCAAACTGAAATTCTATCTCAGCAGCTCTTAGCTGTACCCAGTTCTTTGGAGCTTAAGGTGCTTGTTTTTTCTAAGAGAAACCACGCTGATGTATCAGGAACAGTGTCAGGGAAAGGACTGCTAGTGATCCCTATTTTTACCTTTCAAGACAGATTTTAGCATCATTAATACTGTTTCCAAACAACACTCAGAAATGCTTACAGCAAGCAACCTGCTATTAGCAAGCTAGCAATCAGCTTTCCATTTCAGAAAGGCTGTCCTGCCACGCCATTCTCCCCAGCCTTGGAAGACAGACAGCCTAGCAGTTCACAGCAACAAAAGCCTTTGCCATGGAGGAGCACAAAGCCAGCAACCAGGCCAGCATGCCACCGGCTCTGTCAGAAGAGTCACCTCCTCTGCAGAAAGCAGTTGTGTGGCAGTGACCAGGGCGACTTTTTTGGTCTCTGCCTTTGTGTGGCTGTCAGGGCTCTCAGTAGTCTATGAGGAATGTAGGAACTTTCATGGACTGCTGCCATGACTGAGAAGACTAAGTGAAAGTCTTGGATGAGAGGAAAAAAAAAAAAAAGAATGTACACGCAACAGAGCATGTCCCAGCTCTGCCAGCACGAAAACTGTGCCAACTCCTACATGGGCAGCCAGAGGATGATCCAGGTACTGCATACTACAGCTGGGGAAGGAGCAGTGCAGCACAGAAAGTTTCAGCTATCTGCAGTCACATTTTACATTTTCCAGACACAAAGAGATCTCCAAACCCTGAAGCAGCAGGTAATGCTGGGGATGAAAAGCCAAGGCCCAAAACCAGAGCAAAAACCCCAACATTCAGCACTTGTCAGTAATCTCCCAAGTCCTGAATTCAAATCCCAAGAACAGGCATTTGCTAAAACTTTGCTGCACAAAACCTACACCATCACTACACAAAGTCTGCAGCACAACCAAGGCGGCAGAGCCTGCTTCCCACAGGATGCTGTCATCTTGGCAAAGGCATCAACACAGCCAAGAGGTGCTGCTGCAAACTGTGAAGGAGCCTTTGCAAACACCCACTGCTGACTGAGCCAATAGAAGTGACAGAAAGTGGAGGGTAATCAGTTCCTCCCTCCTGCAGTTCCTCTGAGGAAGGGGAGATTCTGCTGGCGCACAGCTTACTCTAATGCAGAGGCAACACAGATTGCAGAACTCAACCAAATGCTTCCCTTATTCAGAAAATGCTCAGAAATGGGTATATGTGGTCTGCAGAGCACCTATACCAAATGCTTGCTGGCGTGGAGCATCTTCCATTTCTGCCCACTCTGCAGTTACTCATGAGGAGGACACAGCATGCTGCTCAATTCTCACCTCTCACAGATTGCGTAAGCAATTTGAACTCAGTCTCATGGGAGACAAATAATCCTGTAACGGATGACAGTCCCGAGAGAGGAAGCCAGTCTGAGCTGGCCCACCAGTGCCAAAGGTGAGTTTGCAGTCAGAAGTGCGCTTTTGCATTTAGGCAGGTTACGATTACAGCTTTTACTGCAATGATGAAAGCAGAAAACCAAGAGCCCAGCAGCTTCTGCTGTGGCTGTTTTCCCACCAAGCCCTGGATTTTGGAGAAAGATGAGAACAGGGCACGCTGCCTGCGTAGCAAAGCTAGGCAAAACAGGCTGTGAGCATCAGGCGCGTGGCCACAGTATCAGGCAGAGGGATGGCAGCGTTACTGCCTGACATCAGGGTGGCAGAGACCTCATAGGGGACAAAGGGAAAAGGTTCCAACAAGGAAGAAGCCACGGCGACATGTCAAGACCCCTCCATCGAGCACCACAAGATGGCCACACACTCCCACTTACTTTCTTTGGAATCTGACAACGGGGTCATCCAGAAGATCAGTGAAATCCAGCTTTCTTCCCTTTTCTATGACGTCTTTGTGCTTGCGCACGAACAGCCAGCCGATGTGGGAGAAGAAGAAGCCACGGCGGGCATTGTGTGGGTCTGCATCTGTCTCCGAGTACTTGTGGTGCACACGGTGGTCTCGGCTCCACTCGTAGATGTCATTCTGCAGAGAGAGCAGAAAGCCTGGGCACTGCTTCTGCAGAACCACCACGGTTCCTTCCCCACATGGGAACGACAATCAAACATCCACGGGTGCTCTTAAAGACATTTGGCGACTCAAGGTTGTGGCTGGTTATTACTGACACCCTCCAGGGAGAAAAACAGCACTGAAAATGGGACAGAACTTGTGGAATGCTTCATGTGCCTTCTGCTAACCTACACAGGATCTGAACGTGCTCAGCTGTTCTGAGGGATGAATCTCTCACAATTAAAACTGGCATTTAAGTTACTCTTTTGTCTGCAGGGATGTGTACAAGGTTGAGACATCAAATGAAACGTACCTACTTTTTGGGAAACGAGTCTTCAATTTGCAGCCAGGCTGGAATAAGAGTCTCAGGCCCACAAGAGCAGCTCAGTGTTGAATGCAGATCAGATACAAATTAAGTTCAGTCCTGCTTCTGCTCAAACTGTCAGCAGGTTCAAGCCACTGAATTCCCCGGGGACTGCAAGTGGCACTGAGGGGATGGCAGGGAGAAAAGGGTGGATGGCAATTTCAGAACTGAAGCAATGCTTTCTAAGTTTACTTGACTGAAGAGATTTCATCCACCCAGTTTGCCTGTGCTAGTCTTGTTTCTGCAGCACTGCTGAGCTATTACTATTATCACAGAGAAACCTCTGGAAAACTCAGGTCACGCACTCATCTGTGAATTCATAGTACCAAAGTATTTTAAAAAAAAAAAGTTAGTGCCTGAATATACAACAGTCTGAGCTTGAATCAGAGAATGCTTAGCTGAGTGCCCATCTCTCTGCTCTTTCTGTCTTTGCACAGCCAAAGAGGGTTCCAGACAGTAATACCAAAAGAAGGAAAGGCTTGGGTTGCTTCTAGGAACAGCAGTAGCACCCACAACCACCAACTACAGCAGCTTTGGTCCCAGCAGAACCGAGGAAGCCATCTGCGGTGTCTGTCAAGAACCACAAAGCAGCAGCTGGCAAGACAGAGGATACACTCGAGGACACAGTAAGCCTGAGCTAACAACTGCGAAGGTCTGTATTCAGTGAAACAAAAGCTCTGTGCTCAAGGTGTGACTGATCATTCCTTTCTCTCAGCTACCAACATTTGAGAGAATGTACAGAGGCCACCTGTGCTGCTGAACTCCAGGAATGACTGCAAATAGAAACTAAAGAATTTGGTTCAAATGTGTTAGAGTTCAATCTCAGCATTGCAAAGGTGATCTTTAAGAGAGCCCACGGAAGACAAGTGAGGAACAAAAGCCCATTGCACGGGAAAGCAAACCAAGTGGAGCAAAGCAAACCAAACAAGATCACCGAGCTCCTAAACAAGAGCAGATTTTTACCTCGCTGCCATTTTTTTTTCTTTCTCCTACAGGGAAATGAAAGGGAATACAAGCCTCTGCAATGCTTCAAGTGGCAGATTTAGTCCTCAGTGGGTGTATCCATAAGACTACAAAATGCTAAGATCAAGTCATTTAAAAACAAAACAGGGCTATGCAAGAAACACACTTAGGAGGGGTCCTCTTTCTTAATGAGAAATGATCTTTCAATTGGAATTACTGAGCAGTTTGCCACAGGAATGCTTAATAGAACTATGTGTGGCACAACAGGTAACCAGGTCAAAGCAATGATAACGATACTGTGAGAAATTAACTTGGCTTCTCACATCGCAGAAAACACCTGCAGGGTCGACAAAAATGTGATTCCCCAGATGAAAGGACTGGAAAGCTGTGAAACAACTGAACTGCATCTAATTAAAAAACAAAAAGGCTAAGAGGAAATACAGGCCAGAGGCCAGAACTGTTGGCAATACATACACCCAAAACTGCAGCATTGTGCATGTAAATGAGAGTGATTAATAGCAACCATTTTTCAGGAATGTGTCACTCTTGATGAAGTTTCAGGTAAACACAGGAGTGAAATCCTCACCAAAGCAGAATGTCAGCATCGTGCTGTGACAGTGATGCAGACAAGAGGTTTCATTAGCAGATCCCTTCATCATCTTGCAGACCAACGCATGACAAACTGGGATGCGTAACAAAGAAACGGTGAAAAATGCAGTAGGCAGCAGGGCAAACACTGCTGCATCTGATGGTGTTTCAGAGGACATGCAGCATGTCACACCCATACCCTCATGCACCATGAAGTCATCACTGTGCAGAAGAGTTGCTCCTGTCCTTCAAGAAGGCAGCATCCAGGTATGCTGCAAGTATCCTCAAAGCTACCTCTTCCTCCCAAAGCCAACAGGAGGGAGAAGGACCTGAAAACTTGCTCATTGCCTGTTTGTGGTGGGGAAGGCAATGGATGTTATGATAGTTAGGAGCAGGCCTCAGTCTATTTAAAATTTAGAGTGCGTGGTTTGGCCTTTTGTTTTCCTTCTGATACAAAGCTGCACAAAAGTAGCTTGGAGGTACTTTTAAGTACTTCACTGCCTCAAAATCATATCACAACCATAGCGAGAAGCAATGATGAGGCTTGTGGCAATTCAGCATGACACACTCATTCGAACTACACAGGAAAGGTACGATGTGCAATAAAACAGGAGGACAGTACCAGGGGGTTGCTCATAACTCAAAGTGGTTGTTGAACATAGTGAGCAAAGGCTTTGTAAACCTCTGAAATAACAAAGCACCACAAAGCAGCAGGAATATGGCTCAGAATTAAGGTGGGAATCACAGTAAAATGGGACATATCCCTATATTCAAACAAAAGCTCTTTGTAATGTGCAAAGAAACCAACAAGATTGATATTCTCCACCTTAGAAAGATAAATCAAAGACTATTCACCCTTGTTTTATCCACTGAAAGGAAAACGCTGAAAACTCAGGGCACTGCACACATGTGGTACCCAGTGCCACAGGGAGTAATGGCAGCCAAGCCAGATAAGTGTAATGTTAGCACAGATGCATATAGCTCTTTTGAACAGCCAAAGGAGCAACTAAATTCACATCACATTATCCTGGCTCTGGGCTACCCCCTACAACCACCTGAGTGTTACAGAAAGATTTTGAAGTCTAAGACTGCATATTAGGAATTACAGAGCTCAAAAAACACTTCTTGGTAACGTATTTAAATCCTACTGTAGAAAAGTGCTGCATCAAACAGAGAAATTACAATGGTGAGAAAGGACGTCTGCTCTCCTTTCTGGGCATGTGAAAACCCCTCAAAGCCTGGCTAGACAAAGAAACCTGATTATGCCAACTTATCTGCGCGAGGTTGGCCCTTACACAAGCTTCTGTGTTGCCCTCTGAAGCGCGCGGCCTGGCCTGGGTTAGGAGAGCCCCTGATCGACGCATGTTCAACTTGATCCTTAAGGAACCATTGCTCCTGGGCTGCCTCTTAAGCGATGCTGTGTGGGTGGTGAAAGGATCTCTGCGTCCCCTAGGCCAGCATTGTGCATCATCAGTGTCTTCCTGCTGATCGATATATTTTCACTTTTGATGTTTGTAAGCGGAAGTGATCCCCATACAGGAGATAAAGCTGCCTGGAGGCAAAGAATGAGGACAGGCAACCACAATCCCACCTGGAAGGCCATGGAGTTAGCTGCAGCCAGGAAGATCCGCAGAGGCAGCTTGGCTTTGTATGAACGGTGGCTCCACAAGCGATGTGCACCAGCCGTCACGCCCAAGGCTGTCATCAGGAAACAGAAATATGCTGAAAGAAAACAAAACACAAGGTGTGCCAGGGGCCAGCTTTTTTATTTTTGCTTTCTTTTCTTAAAGTTGATTCTTGTCCCTGCTTGCCCATGATGCCTCTGGGAAGGGTCTGGAGATGAGGTAAGGACATCAGCCCAACGCTGCACAGCGGCCCTGGGGATGCAGTATTCCTCCTCTCATCCCCTTCACAATTTGCCAGCGTGTTGTTCAGGGGAGTCTGGCAGCAACAAAGCACTGTGCTGTGATGCATTTGCATCTCAGAATGCATCTCAGAAAAGTTGCAATGACAGTGCCAGCCTCATCCAGACAGGTCTTTGCTCGAGTCTCATCTGCCACCTAACTGATAAGCATCACTTCCTATTCCTGAAAATACAAACAGTGTCAGAGTTCCTACAATAAAAACTTCTCTCACCATTGTGAGCTTATGAATCAGTACTATAAATGCACCAGGGATCTCCGCATTCAGTCTCTTTCAGCTTCAGGAACTGCCTTTCCTTTCTGTAATTACAGATTGATTAATGATTGGCTGAGCAAACTTGTTTTGAGCATTTTTTCAGATGGCCAACACAGCAAGGAAGTGGCTCTTTTCCATAGGCACCGTGCTCTAGCTGCAGCTGGACACTGCCTGGCACACATGTGGGATAGCAAGGAGGGACGTACTGTATGGCCCCAAACAAACCAGGCCACTCCAGCGGCTCCCATTTCAGCTGTCCAGCTGTCATGATAGCAGACTCTCATGTCTCCCTCCTGTAGGGAAGCATTGATTTCTCATACTGTGTCTTAAGAATACATGCTCACTTAACAAGTGTACAATTGAGAAAATAAATAAAAAAAGTGGATTCAAACAACAGGAACATCACAGGACAACCTGAAAGGTGTTTGCACGGTGTAAGGTGATGCGCTGTTTAGCCATCCTCCTGCCACCTCAAACACACAGGCTGCTTGAACCAAGGAATGTTTTAGATGTATAGATAGTATTCAAGGAACGTTTAGATGTTGTGTTGAGAGACATGGTTCAGTGAGAACTACCAGTGATAGGTGGATGGTTGGACTGGATGGTCTTGTAGGTCTTTTCCAACGTTGGTGAGTCTATGATTCTATTCTATGAAAACACACCTATTTTTTAATACCTAAAGTGTTCCTGGAACAAAAAGGGAAACCAAAGTCTTTCTCACAAATGCAGCATACAAACGGAGTCAGAATGATCCTAACAATGACAAAACATCTCCAAAACCTGCTCCATCAGTGAGGGGCCACTTCCCTTTTCATCAGGCTGCAGCATTTCTGCTACTCCTGGAAAAGGCTCATATGTGCAGGTTCATCCAACATGAAAAGTCTATCACCAAATTCAGACTCCTGCTTGCTTCCTGAAGAGAACACACAAATGAACCAAAAACCGTAATATGCATGTTATTTACACATTTTGTTTTACAACTGTCAGATCAGTAACAATGCTGGCACTGCAGCTACCTTGCAATTGTTTCCCCTGCAGTCTCGCTGTTCTCATACTTTGCTCTGTCACTGCGAGGACACGGACTCCTCTTACACAGAGAGGGGAAACCTACCCTGCCATCTTCTGTATGTGATATTGAGCTGTAGCAGGCTGATGAAGCAAGAACATGGCAGAAACATCGTTAAAAAAGGCCTTCCAAACTGCTCAAATGACTGTAATTGTGGGAACAGATCGGTGACACATCCAACACTGACATTATCCCAGCAACATAAAAATATTAAGGCTGAATCATCAAACAAACATATTGCCCGTAGGTTTTATGGCTGGTCAACCTCATGCTAGTCCTAGGGGCTGAAATCCTCTTCGTTCACCTGTCTCTTCGTTGCAGGGGGTTGGTATTTAAGGAGCATCTTGCATTTGAATCCCATTTTCGACCATACTGTTAATGGAGACAGAAGGATCATCAAGAGGAATAGCTCACTAGGTCTTCTTTAATACATGCCGAGGGGATCTTTTCCTGGCAAAGCAATGCTGTTTGTTTTTCGGTTTTTCAAAGGAGGAATTGTAACAGCGAGAATCTTCCTAAAATAAAGGCTGAGGGCTGAAGCATCCCTAGGAAAAAAAATATACTCAGGAGTTCAGTGGCCAGAGCAGACAAGTCCTGTTGGGCAAATGCATGATGCGAAGCAGAAGGAGAAGCATTTCAGAGGGGACCCTGAGGATGAGGGGAAATGGATCAAACAAACGAACTGGTGTGCAAGGACAAGGGAGAGAACGTGTGCATGGGGCTGTGGAGAGGATGCAGGAGAGAAAGGAGCGGAGGTTCGTGCACTGTGCACACAGGGAGCTGGCGGGTTGCTAGGCTCCAAGTGCACAGTGCCTGTGCACAGCTGCTATTTATGGGAATGCGCCAGAATCAATAGGCAGAAGATTTTTATCCAACATGCTTATTAATGACCTGAAACAAAGGCAAACAGCGTATTAATTATAACTGCAGATGATGCTAAATTTGGAGCAACAGTGAGAGAGCTAAGAAACACAAAAGGATCCGTGCAGAAACAGGGAAAGCATAGCTCAAAACGAGAATCTGCCTGTATAGAAAAAGCGAAGTAATGAAGCTTAGGGCCGTGAGAACAGACAGGGATCTGCAGTGAGGATGTGACACTTGGGGAAGCAGGTGCCTGCCAGGAAGATCACCAACAGCACATAAAATATTCTGAGCTTGCAACACGATAGGGCAGTGAGACATCAGTGTGATGTTGAACAGCAGGCACAGGGGTATCATCTCACAGCCGGAGAGAAGCACTGCAAACTACACCAGGCACATCGTTTAAAAATGGATGGGATGGGAGACTGGCAGCATAGAACATTTGAGCCAGCTTTTTCAGAACAGCTCATCATCCCCATGGATGGATTTCCAGAAACGCTTATTGCACCAAGTGCCAAACTCCAATGAAAATGTGTGTCTGCAGGGCCAACCTCTTGCAAGGATATAGGGAGATACTGCCACAGTCCGTGGCAACTTCAGAGGCATCAGAAAATCATTCCTTACTCTACACAGTTGCTTAAATCAGTGCAGATCTCTCCCTCAGGTATATTAAACTTTGTTACATGCCAAACATTAAAATTTGAACCTTTTTTTTTTTTTGTTTGTTTTTTTCCTCAATGCACGTTGAAGATGTGATACCTATTAGTGAAACCAGTGGATTCTGGACGGCTTTTGACCCTTACCTGGTTGTAACAGCAGCAGACCAACCAAAGCCAGAAATGCACTGGGCACTGGTTGCACTCTGCACACCTGAACAGACAATGCTGGCTCCTGGCATGCTTCTCAAGTAGCCGTTTCAAGAAGCCACTACTATCAGCTAGCAACCAGCCACACGTTGCCAATGTCAAACATAGCCCAGTTATGGTGCCAATTGCAATCATCTCTGAGGGACCCAGCAGCAGATACGAAAATATCAGTTGCGAGACAAAATCGATTGCACATCTACAGTGGTGTGACTGTCAATATCTGAATGTGCTTTAATGTGCAGCGGTCGCTTTTCAGAGGAAGACAGCAGCCGTGCTGCTTGCTGTGGTCGTGTTAATGCCAAACGCAGTGGGCAGATAGCAAAAGGGCCCAAAGGAGCAGGCAAGAGGCACTTCTTAATGTTTCTTTCCCTTATTTCTTTTTTTCCCTCTTTTTGACTTTTGATAACTTGACTCGTTAAAGTAAATAACAATTTGAGGGCTTAAACTAACAGGGATGGACACGCAACATTTGTGAGGTTACACGCTGACATTTACCTCTGCTTATTCAGCCACAGCAAAACTGCTTGCTAGGGCATTTTTAATAATTGAATGCATAAAACTCAAGGTCTTCCATCAGGCTACAAGATCTGCGTGAGAAACACAAACAGTAAGTTGCTCAAGCACAAACTCAGCATTGCAAAGCTGACTGATCACCATAAATATGCAACACCACTGTACCTGACAGCCAGGATTTTTCTAAAAATTACATTGCATCTGCATCCGCGTTCCATTCCTCGTTTATGGGTTTTTTGCTGTTGTTCACTGGTAGATCTAGGACTAATTCATGATACCACCTAACCTGTCCAAACTCAGAAAGCGTTGCCCTGATATTCAGCGGTGGCCTAACTTCTTTTCCACCGGAGACACTGAAGGAAACCTGCTCTCCTGACCTGGAACTGCATTTACTAAGGAGGCAAACCTCCCACCGTGGGCCCTGCCAAGAAAAAAACACTGAGTCGGTGCTCTGGCCCCAGGGTCTCTGCTGGCAGACGCGGCCGAATGGCCACCCCACTGTCGGCTGAGCCCTGCTAACTATCAAAGGCTGGCACCAGGAGCACCTCAGGCTGGATTCAAACCAACAACCCAGAATTAAAAAGAACCATTTCCCCGAGTCACCCGCTGCACAGCGCGCGCCAGCACTCGGGGGAGCCGTGCAATCATGTGAAGAGCAATCGTGTGAAATCTCAGGGCAGGAGCGGGTTCATCTAAAATTAGATCTACGCATTTTCTGAGCTGCTCTAAATGGAACTGGGAGAGAAAGAGAGGAGATGAAACATATTGAATGGATGTGGGGAGGCAGAGTTTGGAGCTGCAAAGAAGACTAGTTTGACTGTGGTGCTCCAGGACAAGCCATCTGTCACAGCCTCCCGAGCTCGCCGTCACCAGCCTGGGAAATCCAGTCTGCCCCTGCTTCAGCGCACATGCTCACGTATGCACTTTCAGGAATGTTCCCCAGAGCCAGCCCTTTTGGCTGAGTATACAAAAGACTTTATTCCGGTTGGAATAGCAGAAATGTTCACTTTGACAACTGAGGCCAAAGTGACGTTAAAAAAAAGCCAACAGAGCAGTGGAAATTGCAGATCACAGCGAGAATTCCAGAGAATGCTAAAATTCCCCCAGGAAGCACATGCAGATTCCCTGAACTCACCAGCAATGGAAGATGGCCTTAAGATGTTGAACAGCTTGTATTTTTAGATCAAAAGAGAAGGCTGGAAGATGCTCCGATTTCTCTGAAATTTCTGTGCTTCTGTGTAGCCTCTCTCAGCTCAGCCGGATCCTGCGTCATCACAGAACCACGGGCAGATTTCACTTCTCTCCCCATGACCTCACCACTGCCCTCAATCCACGGGCTGGCTAGGGCTCCATTGGCTTTGAAGTGTTCTAGAAATGCCAACAGTGCCAGTTTTGTCTCTTTCCTCAAGGATGGAAAGAAAGAGTGTTTGCTTGAGCCGTCAGCCCTCAGCAAACTCAGGCACATGGGTCTCTTCCGCTGCATTCGAGGTGGGAGCTAAAGCCATCATCTCCTAGAATGACCTGTCCCAAAACCCAAGCTCAGCCCTATGTGTTTGTGGCCTCTGCTCTACCAGCAGCCTCTTCTCCCTCTTGGAAAAACACAGCTCTCCTCTTGGGCATCACCTGAGGAGCCAGATAAGTGGAAGCCCACTCCAGAAATCCCATTCTCCTGTTGTGGAGCAGTGGGGGCACACAGGATTCCTGCTGCCAGCAGCTAGCACTCAGCTCTCCCTTCTTGTTCACATCAGCCTAGCTTTACTCAGTACAGTAATTCTGAATGCTCTCTGGCAGGGTATCATGTTTTATTGTTAGCCTCCATGGTGAAAATAAAATCTGATTGCAAGAAATTGCTCGGCTTCAATTATAACATCAGCGTTAATTGCAAGCGCAATCGTAATTGCAGGGAAGGAAGGCACAGTGGCAGTTTGAGGATGCATACTAAGTTCTGTGGGTGAGCTGACATTTCCCAGCCCAGCCCTCCCAAAGGAGCAAGCCACTCCTCTGACCGCAGCGACCAGAATGAGCACAGATGAGCCGGTCTGCGTGGCTGTCACTGCTCTGCCTGCTGGCATCTCCTGAAGAAGAATGAAATGGAGACAGGGGACAAATATATGTGCTTAAAGCTGAACATGGGGAAATCACCTACAGCAACAGCTAGAACAGGAACACTAGGAAAAGAAAAACATCTGAGCAGCAGGAGCATCACCTCAGCCAGGGCACCTTGGAGCAGCGAGGTCTCTGCAAGATAAGGTGTTGTGTTCAGTTCCTGCTCCCTGACCCAAAACCTTGCCTGCAGGAATCACTTGAACGTAACCACTGCAGGACCCAAGGGTTCTCCCAGCAGAGTGGCAGCAGAAGCAACCGTGGAAGTTTTAATCAAGCATCTCCAATCCATAGCTGTGAAATGGAGACAGTATTTACACTTCCTTCCTCCAGAGAGGTCCCAGAGGTGCTGAGTACAGCCCATTTGTAGCCAGGATTCTTATTTATAGCCGTCTGCACAAAGCTTCCAACAAAATGGGAGCTTCTGTAAGCGAGCACAGCATGCACAGAAGTGGTTAATGCCCAAAACCTGTTCATACCACAAAAGCCAGTAGATGGCACTCAAGAATACGCAAGCCTTCTGAAATGTGCAAGCCCAATAAAACTTGCATCTGCAGTGCACACCAGCAACATGTGCCTCATTGCACAGGTCACTCCCTGCAAGGACTGAGGAAGCAACTGTGATCCTGTGGAGACCTTTGGGGACCACAATGACCCTGTGCCAGCAGCACAATGCCTTTCAGCCTCCCAGAGATGGGATGCCAGCACAGTAGCACCGACATGTCCCAAACACCTCCAAGTACAGGGTGAGAATCCTCCCCTCCCACAGAGCACAAGGCCATCCTCTTCTCCTACTCTCAGGCTCTGGCAAGTCATATCAGTGTGTGAACCAGCAGCTGTGCACCCAGGAATCAGGCAGCCAGGGAGGCACATCCTGAAGATATGGGTTTCTGAGTATCTCCTATCTTAAAGCAGTGATAGGCCACGCATGTGCCAGTTTTTCAAGTCATGAATGCCAGTAATGCTCAGCAGCCTGAAAGAAAAGGATTTAAAATAGATGATGGGTTCATACTCTGCTTTGGTTTGTTGTTCTTTAGTATTTTTGGCCTACGTTACGTGCTTCCACATCAGAGGGCTAAAAAGCAGAATTTCAGACCCTTACGCAGAGAAGGGGACGTACCTTGGGCACAGTGCTGGAATGTGCCATGGGACAAGCCAGGGCTGCTCAATGGCTTGCACCCATCAGCTGCTGTGCTACTCAGCCAACGCAGTCACCAGCTCATGGAAATTTCTGACATGAGTAATTTTGTTGTTTTTGTTCAGCTTGGACAGAAACCAAATTCCAGGGAGGCACCAGGATGGCCCTGAAAGCCTCTGTTTTACCCAGTTTAAGCACGCATCTCTTGAAAGATAACCCAGTTCCCAGCGCTCCCCAGGCAGTCTGGTTGCATTACCCAGAGCTGGTGGGGATCCTGCAGCTCTGTGTGTGGCACGAGGAGCAGTAACACGGGCTCCCAGTGTTAGTGCAGGAGGCAATGGGAACAGAGTAGTACAGATAATCCCGAGTAAACACCCTACCGAGCCTCCACTTGCCAACATTTTCCATTGTCTATTATGTACAGCTGGACAAGCGTCAATAAATTACCAGTGGAAATGGGTCCTGCTGAGCATGCAGTTTGGCTTGATCAGCTGTTTCCTAGGTGGTACTGTGGCAATTTCAGCTCCGCTTAGGTGAATTGAGAATCACCAAGTGGGCTCAGCACAGAGCACCCTGCCGCCTGTCCTAGTTACAGATGTCTCTGGAGAAGGCAAAGTAATGAGCCAGGAAAGCACTGGTGAGCTTCTGGCAAACGCCCGCATCGTGCCATGGGTTATGCCTGGTGCTGGCAGCGGGAACCACACTCAGCACACATCTCCCTATGGCTTGCTTGTAAGGCAGCAAGGGACAAGGCAATGAGATGGGTAGTGCAAGACTACCAGTGAGCTATCCAAGTGCCGAGCTTGGGATAAGAAAGAAAACCACGTGTGGATCCAGTGAGGGCCGCAGCTTTTCAATTCACACTCTCTAATGCTCAGCCCTGTCCAACATAAGCCTACGTGGCACGGAGGGACATGGTCAGTGGGTGATGGGTTGGTGGTCGGACTTGGTGATCTTAGCTGTCTTTTCCAACCTTAATGATTCTTCATCCCTACCAAACTTCACCACAGTGCAGCCCACCAAGTGAGGCTCTGCTCCTTAACCTGAACAGCAACAACCCTGCCTTTGTCTGCCCCGACCCCAGCGTGGCAGCACGCACTTCTGCTGGAGCTATTCTGCAGGAGGGCTGTATTCTCACGGCTGGAGCCAGCGCGCCCACTCCCTGCTGAAGAGCCGTCATAAAAGCTCCCGTAAAACTTGGTGGTCTGCTGCCGGGCGCCTGTTAAAACAACGACGTCGAGAAATGGGAGGCTCTCATCTGCGAGAAGGGCATTAAGTCACAAAGTCGTCGAGACACGTTTATTATTTAACACCTCGGTAAAATCGACAAGCAAAAGATAGACCTTAGAGAATGGAGGGTAATTCAATCCTCCTGCCCTGAGGAGCTCCCTAATAAGGCACAGAGGAATCGGGGGGTTTCGACGCAGGAGAAGGAAGCCCACCTGCCCGCCGCAGCCTCGAGCCCCGATCCGCTCGCGGCGCTGAACAAAGCAGCTCCAGCCCGCTGCGCTCCCCGCTGGCTCCAGCGCAGCCCGCACTCCTCTCTCGCAGCCCGGCTCCGCGGCGGCTCTCGGCCGCATCCGCACAGCGCCGCGCCGCCACGCGGCGCTCTCCCGGCCGGCCCCGCAGCCCGGTGCGTCCCCCTCCCGGCGGACAAAGGATGGCCGTGCCCCCTCCCGACCGAAGCGTAAAAACGGGGTCGTCCGCGAAACCGCGTCCCGAGGGCTGGCTCTCCGCGGGACCTTCCGCGCCAAGCATCGCCTCTCCAGCCTTCCCGCGTCTCTCCGCCCGGCTGCAGAAACGGACGGACGCGAGCCCACCGTTTCTACAGCAACGGGCGGAGGGCCCACAAAGGCGTCGCCGCCGCCGCCTCGCGGCCCCGGCCGCCCCCGCCGCCCCACTCACCCCACAGCAGGGTGAGCAGCTGCGCCCGCGGCACCAGGCTGAGCGCGTACACAGCGCCCAGGTGCAGCAGCCCCATCAGCACCACGTTGCGCCAGACGATGGCCTGCCCGCCGCCCGCCGCCATCTCGCCGCCGCTCTGAGGGGAGGGAGAGAAGGAGAGAGGGAGGCGGCCCGGCCGGGGGGCGCCTGGGGGCGGGCGGGCGGCCCGCTCCGCTCCGCTGCCTCTCCTCCTCTTCTTCCTTCTCCTCCTCCTCCTTCTCCACGGCGCTCCCGCACCGCGGCGGTGGGAGAGGAGGGGAGGGGACGGGAGCCCGCCGGCCCCGCATAGCGACAGCCAATGGCCGCCGCCGCCCGGCAGCGGTGCCGCCCGCCGCCTCGCTGCCGGGGCCCAACCGGCGCGAGGGGTCCCCGACGGCCGTGGCGACGGCCATGGCAACGGGCAGGGCCCGCCCGGAGAGCCGCGCTGCGAAACGGCGGGTGCGGGGGTGTGGCGGGGCGGCAGGAGCTCCTCCGTGACCGCACCTGGTGCCCGGCAAAGGAGGGGCCCTGCGCGGAGCCGCTTGTGCCGTGCAGGAGCGGGGCGAGCCCCTCTGAGCCGTCGCGTGGCTCCCAGGGCTGCCGCTGGGCAGGGCGCATCGTTGGCCAAGAGGGGAAGGGGATCCTTGGCTGCGTTGCAAAGAGTGCGAGTGTGGGAGAGCAGTGTGAAGGAGATGGTCCTCCTGCTCTGCTCTGCTCTGCCACGGTGAGGCCACATCTGGAGCACTGTGCCCAGTTCTGGGCTCCCCAGCTCAAGGAGGACGGGGAACTTCTGGACAGAGTCCAGCGGAGGGCGACAAAGATGATCGGGGCCTGGAGAACCTCTTGCATGGGGAAAGGCTGAGGGAGCTGGGGCTGTACAGCCTGCAGGAGGGAGGCTGAGAGCAGATCGGATCAGTGCTTATCAATATCTAACGGGTGGGAATCATGTGGGTGGGGCCAGGCTCTGTTCTGTGCTGTGCAGGGATGGGGGCAGTGGGCACAGATTGGAACGCAGGAATTCCGTACGAACATGAGGAAGAAGTTTCCTGTGAGGGTGACAGAGCACTGAACAGCTGCCCAGTGCGGTCATGGAGTCTGCTTCTCTGGAGATACTCAGAACCCACCTGGAGGCTTTCCTGTGTGACCTGCTGCAGGGATCTGCTCCAGCAGGGGGCTGGGCTGGGGGATCTCCAGAGGTCGTTCCAACCCCTGTGATTCTGTGTGAACCTCCACTCCCGTGCCCAGAAACAACCACTCCAGCCACAGAGCAGCACCACCAGCATTTGCCCTCGCTCTGTGTGGCCATGAGCAGCAGTGTGTGTAGAGGCAATGCTCTTTCACAGAGCCCTCTGGCTACTCAGGGCCATGTGGCACACAAGCCCAGAGTGCTGTTAGTGCAGAGCACACAGCATGGTGTGCTAATTAATTACTAACAACACCTCCTGAGGCAGTCAGCAGAGAGGATATAATTAAAGCCCCCCCTCTTTTTTTTTCTTCTTCTTTTTTCCCCCTGATACATTTTAAGCATTCTTCTAGAATCCTCCACCTGGAAAAAAAGAAAGAGGACAGTGGCAATGAAAGAAAGTGAATAGTTTGCAGGGATGCAACTGGAGCCACTGAGTGCTGCTGCTGCCCTAACAACACACTTCTGCTACTCAAAACGTTGACAGTGTTGGCCCCATATTTTTTTTTTTTTTCTAGCAGCCACCCAAGGGCAATCCCAGAAAAGCTATTGCAATGAGACTTCTGGCCAATTCGTAGCTCTGAAGCCTGTGGGAACCTCAATCAGATCAGTCTTTTTTGAGCAAGGGTTGCATTAAGCATCCCTATATCTCCTGTCTGTGCCCCACAGGACCCCAATTGGCAACAGGCACCCAGGTTGGCACACAAAGAGTTGGGGCTGGAAACTCAGTCCCACACTCCCCCATCACACTGGGCACATCAACACTGCTCCTGCTATCAGCATGGGATTCACCATCTCCCCACCTGTGGCTCAAGGACTCAGCCCAGCACCAGCAGTCAGGGAGTAGAGGCAGCCACCCACATTGCCGGTATAAATCTCTTCTCACCGAGATTAAAACTGGGCTATTTGGGGCCAAATTCTTTTAGCAGTGTAAATTGGCAGAGCTTCATTGCCTTCTGCAAAAGGAAGCCAGCCATTTGCATTTATAACATCAGATGGGCAGCTAATTGCTTGGCATTCCTTGAAGACAGGAACAGACGGCAGTAGCACCGGTGAGCTGCTATTAATCTCAGCTGCTCTCAGGAGAGGAGCAGATTTTCACAGGCAGTTCTGTGCTGAACTCAGGCAATGCAGTGATCCAGCCACGAGTTGCAGAGCACAGCCCCAGCTTAGGCAGATTTATTCTGTGCATGGATATTCTATGCAAGGTACCTACAACCCCTTCTGAAAAAGAGCTGCAGACAAACTACTTCTAACACTGGTAAGAAATCTATATCTGAGATTAACAGGAAGAAAATTAGTTCAATGGCTTTTTACATTTTGGAAACAAAGTAACTCCAGTTCAGTGCTGCATGTTCTCCAATCACAAAAATTTAGGTCAGCAAATAACAGTTTAGAAATAGGATTAAACCTAGTTCCCTCAGAGGAGCAGAGCTCTTTTGCCTGACAAACTCATAATCAGTGTGAAGTCACAGGAATCAGCCATAACTTGCATTATTATTATTTGTAATATTTCTTGCAATATGCACTGCCAAATCTACATTGCACAGACTCTACAAGTGTATTTTTTTTTTTTTTTAAATACAGAACTGCTTCTCACAGGCTGTTTTCTTTTCAACTGCTCTTTCTAGTCTAGACATAGTGATACCAAAAATTGATGGCACACTTGTTGGAAATTCTTAAAGCCAGCTCCTACCATGCTGCAGGAGAAGCCATGTGCTGAGAAACTCACCTGACCCAAGCAGAAAAGGCTTGCTTGCAGTCTCTCACAGCACAGCATGTGCTTGTGTCCCAGCAGAGGCCAGTCTCCATGCTTGGGGGACTGCAAGAAACAATTGGCACCTTGTTTGCAGACTGTATAGACATACATCTCTGTAAGGGTGGCTTAAACCATTCCACATTATTTCTGCTCTCAGCTTTTAATAAATACATACAGATCTGTTCAGAACTCCTGTAAAACCCTTCCTTGAAATGTCAATAGCTCAGCGTAAATGTTGAGTAGAGCTTTATCACGAGCAACACAGAAAGATAAACATAACCTTGCAGCTCAGGAGCCACAGAAAGCTGCCTTGCTGTACTCCAGGTTCAAAATATTTAAGTTGCACTTCATCACAACATATTTTAATAAATTAACATTTATTGAAAATACAACATTAGCCTTTATTTCGCTCATTTGTCCCAGTGCAAAATTAAGCTATATGACATGTAAATTGTAACAACAGAATTGCAAGCAATCTCATAAAATGAAAGACCAACTACACTTACAACAGGATCAGACTCTTTAATCTGGTGTCTAAGGAACAGTGAGGTGCAGGGTCAGATACACAACTTATCTTCTCGCTTTCACATGTATCTGTTATTAAAAGCCACTGTTTAACAGTATAACATGCATCTAAAAATTGACAATATGGGGCGCCATCCCCATTAAATACACTATCTGTAGACAAACCATTGGGGATGAGAAAACGGTTAAAAATAAAAAGAAAAGCACCAGGGCTCCAAGGCCCACCTAAAATGCTGGATTCTGCAGGGAGAGCATAATGCCATTTGTCAGAGCTCTACTGCGACATGCTGTAAGGACTGGCGTTTGGTCCGCATCTTGCATGTTTGCTGTAGAAATGCACTTCTTTGGAAAAGCAACCATCACAGGCTTTGCAAGTAAAGGGTTACTTCAGACACCCAACTTATTGGCCTGGATGAGGACAACTTTCAGAACAGGCATGAAAGCAGAGGTCTCGCTGAAGTTGCTGGTGCTGACTATGTGCATGTGGATGTTCAGTCCTTCCACGTAGTTGCGGGTTTCGATGCTCTTCACGATGTTGTGCAAGCCGCTAACGATGGCTGGAGAGAGCTGCAAAGAAGCCACATGAGGCAGGTCAGAGTTAAGCAAAAACAGGAGTGCTAGCACAACAGAAGTCCTGACTGTCACCTCTGCCTCTCAAAAAAGGGGCTGGAATTGGTGGAATTGCTGGAATTTAAGGACAGTAGGCTTCAGAAGCACTGCACGCTGAGCAAAGCTGCTGACAGCAGACTTCAAGCAGAAGACAGATTCATTGCAATCCCTGCCCCTGTGAGCCCCCAATGGCTGTGGTTTCCTGAGGTGGGAGTCCTGCAGCAGCAGACTGTGGTCACAAAAAAACCTACCAAGCTTCATGTCTCCAGGCTAGTTAACAGGCCACTTAACTGAGGCAAAGTGTAAAAACAACACTTACTGTCTGTTCCCTAAGTTTGTCGTATAGAAATTCCAGGCGTTTATTTGCATCATCTAGTTTCCTCTTGGTTTGCTGCAAAAGAAAAACACATTAAGAATGGGCAAGCACATTGCAAAGAGGTCTATGCAACACATGAAATACTTTCGACAAAACCATTTTCCTGATGGTTTTGCTCTGTATTTTTCTCCCTTCATTTTGCTAGGAAAGACCAGGTGAAATTCAGTTCTCCACATGCAACTGCTCCAGTTACCTATATAGCACAGTAACCTTTAAAGGCACATCCAAAGGGTCATTTGTAAAACCCACCAGTACAGCTGGCATGCAAAGTGGGACAGAGATTGAGCAGGACTCTTGTTTGATGGCATACTGGCAAAGCACTGCAATGGCTGAATAAAGATATTACTGAAATTAAGTATCCAGTGATGTCACTGAGAACTGAAGGGCACAAGCAGTCATCATTTACAGCGGGTTCTAGCTATGTTTTTCATTGCCTGACTAGTGACCAGGAGCTGTCAACAGAAAAACTAATAGCCTAACCCAAACTGTTCTTAAAGATCCTTTCTGCTTCCATGAGTTCCAGGTAGACTAAACCACCCACTGGTATCTATGGAGTGACTGTGCCACGAGACTCTTAAAAATCATCCCATTATATTTCACAGCACCGCACCTCCTTGGGAAATGCATTACATCCACTTGGTTTTTCAAACAGCTACAGAAATAAAATATTTTACTCCAAAATAACAAGAAAACACGTTAGCAGAGCATTCAGATTACAATTACAAAAGCAAAAATAAGGTCAGTAGCAGTATAATTTCTATCAGTGCACAAGTGTGTTGGAACCTACTCCTACATCAGTACCCATGCATCAACCCATCTTCAAATGAATCTCCCCAGAAACAGGAAAATTCTCCCTGGGTTAAGTAATTGCTGAGAGAGAAAATCTAAGGCTAAGGGAAGGCTTACCTGCTCTGCCAGAAATTAGGGGAAGCTGCTCAGATGGCAAAGGGCATAGAAAAGAACACTGGGTGCAGAACTCTCATGTCATGTGTGGAAGCCCCCTCAGCAGCTGCCAAAGGACAGGGCAGGTAAGGAAGGAGCATAGCAGAGGAGCTGGTAAGAAACAGCCTGTTAGGCTTCCTAAGTCTCTTAGATACACGACCACTAGAAATCTGTTTCAAAACCTGTGAAAAGATCTACAAGCCAGCTGTCAGTGCTAAGGCAAA